ATATAGTGGACAGAAAACACAAAAAATACTGCAATTATACTACTATTACTGCAATTATACTACTATTACTAAATATTACTGCAATAACACTACTATTACTGCAATTATAATGCTATTACTAAATATTACTTTAGTTATACTACTATTACTAAATATTACTGCAATTATAATACTATTACTGCAATTAAACTACTATTACTGCAATTATACTACTGCAATTATACTGCTATTACTAAATATTACTGCAATTACACTACTATTACTGCATTTATAATACTATTACTGCAATTATACTACTATTACTGCAGTTATACTACTATTACTAAATATTACTGCAATTATACTACAGAATTTACTTTCAGAATTTACAAAAATGTACATTTAAAAGAGTTCAGGTGTGACATTGTTAACTTCATGAAATGGGACCAGTATTTATTTTGGACACATTAAGTAACTGTTATTAGAACATGAAGGAAGATTCATATTGATTTTGCCGACAGGTGTGTTATATTGAAAAGTACTGAGATTATTTGTGTATTTTATGTCATGGCCATCAACAGCTCTTGAATGCAGGAGACATATCACCATGGTTACCAGTCAATTATCTTCATGTTAATGACACAGACCAGATGTGTGTTTAAAAGGTCAGTACTTTGTCTTAAATGCCACAATGTTCTTTGCTAATTCTGTCTGATAATGTTTTTTTTTTTTTTTTTTTTTTTTTCCATCAGGTCATCTGTGTGAGAATGCATTAGTGCAAAAAAAATTATCTAAAGGGATATAAATGTTGGATTGGAAAATGCGCATGTTATTTTTTTTTTCCAACTAAAACAGCAGAAATGAAAATCTGCTTCTTGCTACAGGAAAATTTCACAAGAACAGCGCAGCAGTTTTTAACAGGAAGTCAAAGTTCTTGTTTCTATTATCTGGTCATTTTTTTGTAGAATGACCTGAAAAAATTGTTGGCTTATTGAGAGAAAAGAGGCTGTGTTTGTTTGTTTTTTAAGCCTTTATTGAATTATTTAATTTATTGCTTTAACTTAGAGCTTTGAATTTTCCCCTTTTATATGTGAATATGTTTTATTCACTCGTGTTTTTATGTATTTATTTTATTTTCATGTGTGTAAAGTGCCGTTTTTGTTTGTATTTGAAAATCTGCGGCGATATTTTACATCAGTATTGGCGTTTACAGTGAATAAAGTGTAAAATAATGTTCTATATTTGTTAGACTACTCCCACGTTTTCTTTAAATTAATACATAGACAATACAATAAATCCTTAAAATCATCCTTCGTGTAGCTCTCTTTTCTTATGCATGTCACAAACAGGGAAAACCTTTTTAAGCCACAACAAAGTGGAGTGACATTAGCGTATCTTTCTTTCTAAATGCATGAATTCTCTCTAAATGCAAACTATATTAAAATGTGAAAGGGTCCTGGAACAAGACTGAGGGTTAGGGTTAGAGGCTTTTGAAATCCCACATGATTTAGAGCAGCAACCCAGAGTCAAAACCCTGCAAGATCTGAGAGGGTTTTACATTTATGTGCACAGAAATACTGTTATATAATATTTCCTCTATTGAAATAAACTCCATGGACAGTAAAGGGTATAATGTGACTTCTTCTCGCTATAAGGTTGACTTCCCAAGCCTCTTATACGGGGGGTCGAAGGTTCAGTTCTCTAGTCACTTTTGTGAGGTTTCTCAAATAAAGACTATGTTGTCAACAAGCTGTGAGATGCCTTTAATGCAAAACCACTAAAACATAGTAACTTTTCTCGTGGAGAGTCTGTCACTTGCTTGTCCCGAGATATTATTGATTTAATTGAAATATCCCACAGTATGGCATTAAACATATCTATCTCCATGTAGACAAGCAAATTACACCATCAAACCAAGATGCAGGTTAGAGTAAGAATGCATGATTTTCACCGTATTTTTGAGTTAAAAAAAAAAAAAAGACTTGTAATTGGCTAAATGAAAGTTAGCTCAATGCAAAGATCTCCAACCTTTTTCCTCTGGTGCGCTACCTTTATAAAAACAAACATGCCAAAGAGCGACTTATTTTAACAGCTGCAAGAAATTGAGTATATATAAGAGCCACAGCCTTAAATAGGGGACAGTTAGATGCTGATAAAATATAAACCACTCTTTCATTTATTTGTGCGCAAAACTGTGCATTAAAATGATAGCTCAACAATGGTAATTAATCAAATTTTACTTATTCAGCACAACACGTATAATTCAGAAATGCCTTGGCGAGCTACTTAGAATGGGGTGAAGAACTACAGGTTGGAGACTGTTAGGGTGATCAGATTTTCAAAATAAAAAACTGGAACATCCCTGGTTTGTGGTTTGCTTGGTTGGTAATAATAAAATTGTGAAACAAGTGTGTAATTAAGGAAAATTGTTATGCTTTTCGGCACTAATGTGAGTCAGTATAGTCACATTCTCTTTGTGTTTTTGTCATTTTTAAGCAGCTTTTCTGTATTTTACCACAACAAATGACAATGTATGCTTCTCTTTACTGTTGGAAGGGTCAAAGTGATCAAAAATAGGAACACCTGGGACATTTCTTGTATAAAACTGGGACAAATCAATGGTTTTGTATAAATCTGCAGGGACAGGTGACACAGGGCTCAAAACTGGGACTGTCCCGAGTAAACAGGGACATCTGGTCACCCTACTATAATGTGAATTGTCCTTGCTATAGTACTATAAGACATAGTAACTTTTCTGCCACTTGCTTGTCCTGAAATATTATTGATTTATCTGAAATGACCCACAGTATGACATTAAACATATTTTCATGTAGACAAGCACATCACACCATCAAACCAACATATAGGTCAGATCTGTGAAGGGGTAAGCCCGCTCACAGTAAGAATGTCTGATTTTCAATATTTTGAGCAATAAAAACACTTGTAATTGGCTAAATGCAAGTTCACTTAATGTCATACTATTAGGGTGACCAGATTTTCATCCCTGGTTTGTGGTGGTTGGTAATAATAAGACTTGTGAAACGAGTGCGTAATTAAGGAAAATTGTCCTGCACTCTGCACTAATGTGAGTCAGTATAGTCACGTTTTCTTTGTGTTTTGGTCATTTTTAAGCAGCTTTTCTGTATTTTGCCAAAACAAATAACAATTTATGCCTCTCTTTACTGTTGGAAGGGTCAAAAATAGGGACTGTTGGGACATTTTTTTTGTATAAAACTGGGACAAATCAGTGGTTTTGTATAAATCTGCTGGGACAGGGAACACAGGGATTTTCCCGGGTAAACAGGGACATCTGATCGCCCTTCATACTGTGGAACTTTCAAGGCAAAGCAAAAAGACCCCCATGGAGACAAGCAGACAGACGACCAGGACACCTTTACTGTATGTGTGTAAGACAATATTTTCTCTCATTTTGAAAGCAGGATGACGTTAGTATTCAGCTGCACGCCACACGTGTGCTCTGATCACCTGATTAGTTCCACATCTGCAGGTACCTCCATTATCACACCCCCATGTCCTCCTCTCTGCAAGTCCAATCAATACAGCACAGATGGAGAAGTGACAGGCACAGGGACCGTAAATGTCTCATACAAACGTCCTGTCAGACCAGGATTGGAGGATAAAGAGATTTTGTTTGCAGCCATCACCAAAGCTTCCTGCATGTCGTAAACCATAGTGTGTCAGAGGCTATAAATGACATGTGACCCTTTTCATAATGTGGGATTTTCCAGGCAAAGCATTAACAGTCATGTCAAAAGTCATGTCAGGAAATATGCATATATATTAGAAATTATATAGGGTAATTTGTATATTGATAATAATGTACCTTAACTGTATATTGCACATTTTGAGATGCTGTTTTACTGATACTCAAACTCAAAATAATTAGCCTTCCAAGTACTAGAACCAGATCTAAACCAGGACTACTCCAGGTCTAAACCAAGGCCACAGCTCTTGAACAGGACTACATGATTACTTCATTGTTCTAAACTCAGAGAAACAAAAATGGGGGCAATATTGACTTGGACTGGAGATAAAATGTTTCTGTTAGCACTTTTTTCTAATTGTAAATAACAAAATGCGCACGGATGCTTGTTTAGCTGAGTTATAGTATAGACTCATGTGAGATATTTTCTTTCTGTTATTCAAACCATAAAAGATGGAGCTTTGTAGGTGACAGACTTCCTTCACATGGTCTCAGAGGTGAACAGAGCACCAGCGTCCCCTACTGTAATCCAGTAGCAGTACAGACAGCAGGGGGCCTTTGAATTCCCTTTTCCACCTCCTGAGGTTAACTTCAAAACGGACTTCTCTTTGTGGTTTCTTCTGTTGTCTGAATCCCATGTCCGCAATTTGACACTTAACAGAAAATGTCTCTTTTAAGTCCAAATGTCTGAAATGGCTTAAGAAGTAGCATGAATAAAATTATACCCTACAATATACATCACTGTGGAGCTGAGACTGTATGTACAGTCACTGAATAGATAATGCATTTTCTTCTCAATGTGTATACAGAAAATAAGTGCTCATACCATTACTGTACCACTCTATACCACTTGAACCTACAATAACATGTACTTTATGTGTACTTTATAAGGCTTTGGGCCTATCTGTCAATAATAATTAAGATGCAGTATCGTTCAGGGTCACTGTGAATAATGCACCTCCCAAAAATTCAGACATGTTTTAATATCAAAATTGCCATTCTCATCATATGATGCAGAGAGTTAAGTATGATTCACCCACCACCTGGGGAGTTGGTGGTTCAAATCTCACCAGTTTATTATTGTGTTTATTAGTGTCACTGGGTAAGACCCTACACCCATTTTGTGGTGGGCATAGAGCAGCAGCTATAGGAACAAAAGCATAAAATATGCATCAAATTGGGAAGAGATTTCTTATGCAGTACACCTAAGACTAATTATTTTCATTATTAGAGCGTTGACAAGCATATCCATTAAATCTAATATAATTTATAAGTTACAATGAAGGCAACAACTGCATTATCATTGTCAATCATTGTTCAGTATTTATTAGATCACAGGTTGTTAGGTGCTTGGACTTTTCCATTTGAAACCAGTACACATTAACAATCAGTTTAATATGTGTTACTTCATAAAAGGTCAGTACCAGTTAAAAACTCAAGGGCAGAGTTTTTCTTTCCTTTTGGAGTGATTATTTTGTAACATGTCACGCATATAAAGTGATTACAATAAGATTGAACGAACAAATAAATTATTTAAGAACGTTCCTTTGAAACGTTCAGATGTCCACTTTGGGCAAGAATAGAAAAAGACTGAGAGATCAAAGATTTTAAAGTGAGTGATTTGGGTTTAAAGTGCTTCATGATTTCACACGGAGCAGATTTCTGAACAGAGCCATTTTCGCTCCAGGGTTTGGGCAGGGCACCTGTGCAGAATAATAGTTTGAACAGAGGTGAAGTTTGACTGTTAGGCCAGTGTTCAGGTGCTCTGTGCTAGGCCTGTGTGCTCTGTCTGCTCACTGTGTGAGTCCATAGACCGACTGTGCTCTGACCTGGCTGTGTTCAGGGGCACGGTGGGCAAGTCTAGGAGCCCAGGGATACAACGGTGGCTCTTGTAGGTTCCCAGGTGCCTGAAGCTCCTCCCACATTGCTGGCAGCAGTACGGCGTGGCCCCGCTGTGGATCCTCTGGTGAGTGTACAGATTGCCCAGCTCTTTGAAGCGGCGGCCACACTGCGGACAAGCGTAGGGGCTCTCTCCTGTGTGTACACGCTGGTGCCTCTTCAGGCCTGATAGCACAGAGAAGCCCTTCCCACACTGGGGGCAGGGGAAGGGGCTCTCATTACCGCTGTGCACCAGCCTATGGCTCTTGAGGCGGGCTGCATGTCTGAAGCGCTCTCCACACTCAGGACACACAAAGGGCTTTTCTCCAGTGTGGATGCGCTGGTGCTGCCGCAGGTTCCCCAGGTAGTTAAAGCAGCGTCCACACTCTCCACACTGGTAACCCCCCTCGATCCTGACCTCCTTCTTAACCCCAAAGCACCGCCGCTGAGGTTTAGTTGCCTCTGGTGAAGGGCCGGCCTCTCTTTGAGCCCCGGGCCCCTGGCTTAGCTCTGTGCCATTGTCTCCCAGCCCAGAGCCTGCTGCTGTGGACTGCAGCGCCTCCAGTGCTTGAGCCTCCACTGAGTCCGGGTGTATCAGTTTAATGTGCTCCTCCAGGAATGCAGGTCCAGGACAAAAGGTTGCACAGAGTGAGCAGATGAAGGAGTGTGTCGGGAAGGCACGTACTGCAAAAACACACACAAGTACACATTTATTTTTACACATTTATAAAATGTAGTGCAATGTGTCAAAAGTATACACATCTGCAATATTACCAGAGTCCTGTCTGCTCATGCTGCTCTGCACAGGACCTCCAGCTTCCCCTGGAGAACTGGGATGCTCCATGGAGAACTCTGGTTGCTGATCATTCAACAGTGGCTCCTGGGCCAGACTGCCCCCATCCCGCCTCAGCTCCTTCTCACTCTCCTCTGCAGCATGTCCATCCTCACACTCAGGGTCCTTCATAACTGCACACAAATGGTCAGAGGACATCTTTCAACTGAATGCATATCATAGTGTGTGGTGTATAACATAGGGGGATGACTTCGTTACCTTTGAGGTCAGTGGAGTAGTCTACCGGGGCTATCCACTCGTAATCGTACATGCGTTTGCTTCCTGAGGGCAGCATGCTGAAGAGGTCCTCTGCGGTGGACTCGGACTCTTCATGACCTGAGTCGTCACCAGCCACCCCGGGGTCGGACCACATGCTGAGGGGCGGGTCAGACTCGGTTCGGGCAGGTCTGTCGGTGCTGCACTGGCTCTGCTCCGTCTCCATGTCTCCAGATCCTCGGGAGTTCTTGTCTTTCATCAGATAGTCGCATATGGCGTCTATGTTCTCCTTCTTGACCCCGGGCAGCACTTTGGCTCTCCTGGTCTCGGTGCCGTTGCTATTCTTGGACCCGGATTCGTGCTTTATCAGATCTGTAGACGGATCCACTGTAGACCCACCGCCCCCGGGCATAGTGTCCCCCTGCCCCGTGCACAGTCTCGCCTTTAACACCTCGACCTCCTGGCTCTTCTCCCGCAGCTCCATCTTCAGGACGCGGATTCTGATGGTGATCATTTGGCGGATCTCGGAGAGCGCCGTGTCCAGCACCATGGTGATGTTTCGGCCGAGGTGCTCCGTGATGTCGCTGACCGAGCACAGCAGCTCATCATCGGGCTCCAGTAAATCCTCGTCTGTGCGGACTACAGACCCGGGAGGCTCCATGGGCTCCGGACAGAGACTATTATCAACCAAACTCAGGTTTCTTTTGCGAATCATGGACTCTTTTTGACACTAGAAATGTGTTTTGTGTAGACTTTGGTGAGCTCGCTACACAACGGCTAATAATTAAAGGGAGACAGTTACACCGGATGTGCTTATTGTTTACCTTCAAAATAAATCCATAGTGGCAATATTGCAATCGAACCAACCTGATTAAATGTACATAATACTTTTATTTTGAAAGAAGGCGAAGCTTAGACAGGAAAGTGTGTTTGATATGGCTATGCGTCATTATTACCACTAGAGTGCAGCAACGAGTCAAAAGAAATTAAATAAAATATATTTTTTTAAAAGTCAAAAGAAATAACAGATATGATATAATTAACTAATACAATGGACTTCTACTTTTTATTATTCTTATATTTCTACTTTTTATGTATTTATTTGTTTATTTATTTATTTATTTATATACAGCTCCGCTCAAACAGTGAGAGATACGGGACTACATTCATACCATACTCCATACAACTGTACAAGAACTCACCCTTGTGTCACAGATAATACTCCCTACAACTGTATATCAGCTAATCCTATGTCTTGCCAATAATCATGTCACTGTTTTCCTATGACCTCTTATATAAAGCTGAAATGTTATATTTTATTACTTATTTTTCTATTTTATTTTGACTTGTACATTTACATTTATATAATTATGTCATATTTGACACCTGTATGTCTTATTTAGAATTTATTATTACCATTTATATGTTTTCTCTTGTATTATATTATCTTGTGATGTGTGAGCTACTCTGTCCAAATAATTTCCCTTGTGGATCAATAAAGTTTGTCTAAGTCTAAGTGTGTTTATTTTTTACTACTGATTACACTTGAAGCCCTGTTATGTACTTTAGTAATTTATTTCCGGTATTAAGTTAGCTTTTTAAACAGTGTATACATATGGTTTTAATTTATTGTTATTCAGTATGTTTTATGTTATTTCTATTGAGTTGGGGTATAGGCTAATACAGTCATAAGACATTTTCTTGTGTGGTCAGATGAAATGAATGTAAGTCCACTGTCCACATGCTGCCCTCAAATGTATTTATAGAAGTAGCCTATAGACAGACAGACTACATTTTGCTTGCACTTTGATCTTTATGTTGTCCGCTTTGGTCTGCCTGTTCTTAAAGCCTTTCTTTAGAGCTGACGCTGACAGGAGCAGATGGAGGACAGGAAGTGCTGAGTGTGTTCCTGGGATATTTGAGGGAAATTCACAGAAAAAGTAAAGACAAGGCACAGTCACTAACTTTACAACACTGAACAAAACCTCGAACCTCTTCTGATTCTAATAAAGTATATCATTATAAAACACCATGCCAGGGACTACTAGGCTGTGTTCAGGGAATCAACAAAACTGAGCTCACAATTTCACTTGAGCAGTTCCTACTTTACTCCCTATATAAATTCTGTTTATAGTTTAATAAAATGCTGAAATAAAATACATGACACAAAACACAAGAAATACATATCATTATTATTAATGAATTATTTTAGCTGCTTCTCCTCGTAGAAAAAGTGTTGGCAACTGTGCACCTTGAGCAGTAAACCTGTCTCTGTCTTTCTTTTGATAATTACCAACAATTAATTTATATAACTAAGATTAAAGTTGGCAGAGAAAAGAGTTTTCTTGTCGTTGTGAGCAGACTGTGCCAAAGTTAGGTCTCCTGAGGTCATATTGTTTACACAGTTTTAGTCACAAAGCTCTGTGTATGTCGCCTGGAGTTTGACCCTCTGTGACGGGACGGAGGAGTGACCAAGTCAGTCATTCACGACCGGAGTCATGCAGCGGTGAATCTGCCTTCTGCTCTCCCACAGCCACACCTGTGAACGCGGACATGTCCACGGGTCCGCGCCGGGGGACGGGCAGCAGCCGCAGCCGCAGCAGCCGCAGGAGGAGCTCCGGAGACGGACAACAACAGCGGGAGCAGTCGGGCAGAACCTCCAGGAGCGGGACCGTGGGTAAGACTCATGAATATTAAACATAAGCTCAGTGTTTTGTTTTTCTTCACACATCACTTAGTAAATGAACCGTGTAATTTGCACATATAATAAAATACTATTGCCTTGGCCGCTGCTCTTCACTTTAAATGACAGTGTTTTAGGTTGCATGAAGCTTATAGGCATATTGAAGTTATTTTATGTCAAACGACTCTGAGATGTTCACTAATGACCTACTACTAGACCAGTCAAAGTGTGTCAGCAGCGCAGAAGTGACTTAGGTCAGAATGTTTAATTATTAGGTTATTTAAACATTACACCACTGTAATAGGCCTATCAGTTTGTGTATAGTCTCCTAGATCTGAAGGTTAAGGCTATGTAAACATTTGGCAGTCTGCATTTCTTTTTACCACTGCCACTGCTGCTACAATAACAACATAGACCTACAATTTGACGCATTTCTGGTTCTGAAAATAACAGCCTATATAACATACAGAAATTCTTTCTTTCATTTGTTAAAAATATGACATTCTGTGCTTTTACAGTGCGTAGCCATTCCAGAGATGTTCCAAGTCTAAAAAGATCTCTGTCTATGTATGAGGACAACACCCCCACAGGTACATGCACTTTGCAACTTTGATTTGTGCAACTTTGCTTTATATTCATAGCAATACTAATTCCATTGTACTCATACAATAGTACAATAAAGGGTATAAAACTTTACTTAGAATGTCACAACTCGTAAATGTCACCTGAGGGTCATGTGGTGACTTTACTCCTTGAACGTCTAAAAGTCATTTATTAATCTGTGTCATAGTATCAAAGCATCTCACTGGATACTTTTGAGTAGACATGTGACAACTCTGCTGTATTTTTACTATTTTTACAACAGGTTGGACCAAGGGCCATGCAGTAAAACCAGAGCGCAGTTTGTCTGTGGGACAAGATGATCCCACTAGTGTCACTTCTGTAGTTAAAGATGACTGTAAACATTATGGAAAAGACACAGGGTCTCAAAAATACAATACTATTTTGGCTGATGTGTTAATAGTTCTTTATAATTGTTGGAAATTATGGGTGATAGAGGTGTCATAGTGGGCTCAGCAGTTACCAGAGTATAACTGGTTTGATATTCACATGTGTCATTACAAATGGTCCTGATATGTGGCTGCATGTGTCCAGCTCTGCCGCTGCTGCTGGACATGGTCAGGGGTCCAGAGCGTCTTCCTGCTGAAGAGGAGCTTCAGGAAATGCTGAGGGGGAAACTGCGAGTGCTGCAGGCCCACAGTGGAGAGGTCACAGCTCTGTTCATGGTACAGTCTGTGTACAGATATTAACAAACTTACTGTACTGATACTTTGCAGCTGATGGCATCAACATTCCCTTGGGGGTGTGATGTTAACTGTAGGCACTGCTTTGTCTAAATCTCTGTTACTGAAGTTAGAATTTAATCTGAGCTTCATTTTAACACAATCTGACCTGAAAGACAGATTTAGCTAACTACAACAAGCGAGATGATCTGTGCTGTTAATCTGACTCCTGATTTATTTAAATTCATTTCATATTTTTCTTGAGTTTATTTTGTTTTCATCAGGCTATTTTTGCTAATGTGTGCATTGTGTCTCCATGGCAACTGCTGAACATTCCAACATAGATATACATGCAGAACACCCCCAGCATGATGTCACTGCAAAGTATCACTACAGATATAACAACATGTGTAGATAGAATGTACATGTGGAGTACATCAGGGTCACAGACACATGTGTGTGTGCAGGAGCTGTCGGCCCATCTGCTCTCCATCGAGCCTGAAGACAAGGTTATTTTTGTAACCTTTAAAACATTTGAGGAAATATGGAAATTCAGCACATATTACACCATAGGTATGTTCACCCAAAGTATGTAAGCGGAAGCAGAATATGGACTGAGTGAACTGCAACACAAGGGCGCCTCCCAGATAAAGCAGGACTTCATGTGTTTACATTAAACTTAATCATAATAATCTTTGTTCACAGATTGATGCAATGTCAGTCTTAAGCTGAAGCTATCACCCTCTTTGTCATAACTTACATTTGCTGTGTTATTCCATCCATGATCATTTTGACTGCAGGTTTCTTGGGTCACTGTTTGGAAAATGTGCTGTTTGACCCAAAGCTTTGGCTGCAGTCTGTGGAGAAGGATGTGTCTGCTGAGATTACTTTTCAACAAGACACTTTAAACCTGATTTACAAAGGCATCCTTATGCACGAGGGTATGTCACCTGTATGTGTGCATTGTGTGATAACATTTCAACAAACATCAGCATCTATTTCTGGGTAAAATCATGATGCCTGTTTTCCCTTTCTCCCTCTCCCCAGGCTCATTTTTTGCCAGCTGCAGTGCTAACCAGATGTTTGACAGTTCCACCTCTGGAGGAGACCTGTACCTGGAGCAGGGGGACATAGCCCAGTTCGAGCCCCCCTTCCTGGGCTCAGGATGGAGTGTGCACTGCCTGGCAGATGGAGCTCGAGGCACTGCCCCCAAACCCTCCCTGGAGCCAGTCCCGGCCTTCTACCAGTGGGTATCGCTTCACTTTAACATTCTTTACCTCCTTGAGCCCTATATTGTCCAACCCATTAGATCATTTCGTATTGTGGCATAGCAGCAAAAAAAATCTGACCTTTGTAATGACTTTTGTTTTAGATGGTTTTTAAAATCCTGTCCAGAAAGCATTTTAGTTGGTGATGGGAAACCCTTGTGCAAATTCCCTTTGCAGTTTGGTGAGTTCAGGAAAAGTAATGACTTTAATAATTCATTGCCAGAACACAAACAAAAATAATTCAACACTTAGGTAAATTTGTTTATGATTGTCCATTCCTTTATTTAGCCCGCGGTTCCTGTCTGGCCACAGAAGAGTACGACGCAGATGGGCCAGATGAGCTGAGCATCGCACACAATGATCGCATCATCATTGTGGGACTCCTGGTGTCGTGTTTTGATTGGTTTGTTGGGAGGAAGGAGAGCACAGGAGAAGTGGGTCTGGTGAAGACCAACATGGTCAAACCTGAGGATACCTACAAGTAGGTGCATCAGCTCTGCTTTTTCTTTAACCTGGTCATACATCTTAAACTTGTAGTATTTGTTGTGCAGCTCGGAGGATTTTTTTCTGGATGGAGAAGACAGAGTGTTTGTCCGGCTACAAGAGGACAAAGTTATAGAAGAAACATTGGACTTATTGAAGAAAAAACACAGTCTCAGTCATTCTTATAAACTTGGTATGACACACCTTTGACAGATTCGTATGCACTACCAGCTCAAACTTGGTCATGTGGTGTCGAACTATCCACTCCTATTATTATATAACATGTCACTACACAACACTCTAGTGGACTATGAATAATTCTGTCCCAGATGCTCATATGTCTGGTCCACTGGCTAAACTCAACATAGATTAGGCAATTTCTATATCCCCTTAAACCAAATACTTACCCAATACACAGTACCCAATAAATATGACCAAATATACATTCAGGTATAGATATTGATGCTAATACATGTGTTCTGATGCAGATAAGATGTCCAGTGAAGACCAACGAAAGAAAAGTGAGTATTTCATCCAGTAATTTTTACATAATCAACTATACCTACATGTGTGTGTAATTTATTCTATTCTTTAGCCAACTTTGTGAAGAAAGAGGATGCAGAGCTTGAAGAATTAAAGCTGCATATCCAAAGAGTTCTTTCTCCTGAGCCAACATTCTCTCGAAGCTCAAAAGAAAAACCCAGTCCAACTGATCCTGCCTCGCCGTCAGAGACCCCAGATTCATCGTGCCCACGTTTCTTCGTTCCCCACATAGTAGAGGGAAAGAACCACACAGAAGATCTCATGCCACTGTTTACATTTCTAGAAAATCCAAACTACAATGTGGACTATGGTGCTCTTTACCGCCTCACGCCTGACCAACTGTGTTCTACCACTTTCACTGGTCACTCCGATGAAGACCAGCTAACAAACTTTTTGAGTGTTGCCAGAGAAACCGCCAGGAAGAAGCGCCTTGTTTGGTCGCAAACCCGTACTTGTTTCCTTTTAGGCAAACTTTGCGTTGGTCGCTCTAAATTTAGCCAGGCGCGGGTCTACTTTGAAGAAGCCCTGAGCCTCCCTCGAGAGGGTTTTACGGATTTCAGGCTGTTAACTAACATTTACTACAACCTTGCTAGAATCTATCTTTTACAGAAAAACACAGACAGCTTTTTCCCAATGACAGAAAGACTTGTTGCTCTGCTAATGGGTTTTTCATTTTGTCTGGAAATTGTAGAGGAAGATACCATTTTGAAGCATATCCTGAAAAAAGCCATACTCTCAAAGAACAAACAAGCCGAGGCACGAGCAAGTTATCTGTTAGCTAAACATTACTGGATGCGTAAGGAAAAAGATGAAGTTATTCCTTATATTGAAAGACTGCTGGTGTTTTCCTGTGAGGATACTCCAATCAGTAGCATCTCTCCAAGTGGCGGCTATTTGACACTGGGAGGATTGTACAATGAACTTGAACTCAATAACCTCAGCTCATGTTCTTTCCGGAGAACCTCTTTAGACCCTTCAACAACACTCACAGACAGTCTGAGTTGCATTGTACAACTTATAAGCCATTTTGCACCACAACAGGAGCCATCTCTGCCCTGTCATCTTGCTCCTTACCTACACGAGGTCCTGTCCTTGACCGAGCTGCAGGAAAAACAAAACGTGCGACACCACACGTTAAGCCATCATCTCACCGTTTGCCTGAGCGAGATGTTTAGCAAGCATCAGATGTTGGACCAAGCCATTTGTTATATGCATGAACTTCTAGAAACCAGTCCCTCATCACATTCACTCCCCACCTCACGAGTGAACAGCGCCCTCATCTGGCTGGCGTGGCTTCATATTGAAAAACGTCAGCCTGATGTTGCGTTGGATATTCTGGAATTAGTTCAGTCTATCATGCCGGAGGACTGCACATCTCCACAAGAAGGCAAGTGGATTTATATAACCAAAATGACCTGTATTTTCTATGTGTAATCTACTGGCCACACATGATTAGACATTGTGACTCACTATGAGCTTAATGTTATTGATGGTTCTATTCATGTTTTGTCAGGTGAAGTGTTAAATCTGTGTGGGGTGGCCCTCTGTTCCATGGGGGACCTGCGGAGGGCAGTAGACAACTACCAGGCTGCTATAGATATCTGCCAGGAGTATGAAGACCTCCCAAACTGGGCAGTGGTTCAAGCTAACCTAGGTAACAATATAATATAATCTACTAACAATACAATATAATCTACTATCTTCTGTATCTTCTGGCTTTACCACATTCTTGAAAGACGTGGTGGACAGTTTCCTATCTGCTTCTCTCCATGGAGGTGTCATTGCTTTGGAATTACTTTTGTCATTACACTTATTTATCCCTATGCAGTAGTACCCACTAAACATTAGACATCTTAAGGACATACAGATCATGTCGGTGCAGGAAAAAGAAAAATTATATTTATATTTAACTATGACCCCACTTTTGAACCGCAGACTAGGTGACTTTTTTGGACAACAAGGAGATGTCTAACACAGGCACAGGAAAATTATGTTATTAATGGTCATGGAAATTCTGTGTATTAGTCAGGGAAAAGTTGGTGAATTTTAAGTTTGACATTTGAAGTTTGAAGGTGGAGAACCTGTTAACTGTATCCTGCCATTTTGCTGTAACTTTGTAAGACTCAGAAGCAGATTGAACTGGAAATGCTTTACACCTTTGTATGTGTTTCCAATTTTCTGCTGCTGAGACAAAATTAATTGGAACATTTTGCCACCATCTGAAATGGCATCACAGTTCTGCACAGAGCCACAGAACTACAAAAACGGTCTAAAATGGGTTTAAATTTAGCATAGGCATATGGGCTTGTTATAAAGCCTGATCCCATCAGATTGGCCAGACCTGGTTAGTACTTGGATGGGAGACCACTGGGAAAGTCAGGTGCCACAGTGGAGCGCCAGTTGCAAAAACTGTTGTTGTTTCCTTTGGCAAGGCACTTCACCCACATTGCCTAGTATTAAAGTGGTGTGTGTGTGGGGGGGGTATGTGTGTGAGTGATGGTGGTGGAAGGGGCCAATGAATGAATAATGCTCTGTAAAGCATCTCTGAGTGCCCAGAAAAGAGCCATATAGCACATTATCATTATTATCATAGAAAAGATGTTGACAATGACCTCATTTGGACTAGAATTAGACCTGATCTGGAGGTCCTGGGAACGTCAATACTGGACGTCTGGAAGACAGTCTGCACCTTCAGATTGGATGTACAAAAATTACCTTAAAAAGACGTTGGTTCAGTGTTTCTTTGTGCAGTGGGTAGGCGACACCAACAGGTCAGCTGAGTGGAGAAACAGCCACTTCTATTACCAATGTTTGTTTTTCCAATGTACTTGCCTAATGCCCTACTGTGGAACATCTCACACAAACCAATAACATCCCCAAGGAGACATTCAGGTAGAAGACCACCAGAAAATGTGCATTTATGTAGTTGTAAAATACAGTAGTCGTGATGCAGTAGTGGATGCCATTTGAGTAGTATTAGTATGATTTGTCTCTTGTGTAAGGACTGCTGTGTCTGAAGGCCGGAGCCACAGGTCTGGCCCAGAGAAACCTGATGGAGGCCGTGCAGATCTTCTCTGAGCTGGACATTGATGGACATGAAGAGAGCTTCATCACAGTTCTGCTGGAGCTGGGGAAGCTCTATGTGAAGCAAGGACAGATGCATTATGGGAAAGGATGCTACGAGTGGGCCCTGCTTCTGTCGATCAGTGCGAACCTTTTGGACTGTGAGTGCAACAGCTGTGTTTTCATTTTGTTTTAATGAAATGAAATTGATTATATTCTGTTGAAACAAAACAGTACATTTCAAACAAACTTATATCTGTTAATAGTCATACCAATGCATTTCGACTACTTAGTCTTCATCAGAAGAAGACTAAGTAGTCGAAACGTGTTGGTGTTAATGTTAATTTGGCACCTCCCATCCACCACTTCAAACTCCTACGAGATAATTTAATTGTAAATTAACCAAAACATTCCAGGCAGAGCAGTGACATATCCATAGAAACAAGAAGGTGACGGACCCCCCAACCTTAAAGTTTCATAGTGCATCTTTAAAGTAGTTCATATTCTTATGTCCTTAGCTACATATTAAGCATTACTGATTTCAGGTGAGCTTCAGGCGACCTCTCAGCTGTGTGGCCTGTACAGCTCAGAGAGTCCAGACCAGACTCAGTGCATCATCTACAGTCTGCACCACCTCCAGCTGCTGCAGAGGACAGGGGACAGGCACCAGACCGCCTTCGCCATGGAGTCCCTCAGTCACCTCTACCTAAGCCTCGGCACCCACAAGTAAGACCACACTTTAACTTAACTCTTGAGTCTTATGTGAAATCAACCTTACCAAGCTGTTTTTGTGTAATAACAGTGTTCCTTCATCATAAGCTTACTCAAAGCTGCTTTTTGATTTTTTTCATGCATGTCTGAGTAATCCTGTATTGTTTTACATTAGAGGCTTGAGTGCTCAGAAAATTCTTGTTTTCACCTACCACATATCCCCACCCACTTTTTCTGTACTAAGTTGCTATTGTTTGACCAGTTATGACTTTGTGTGATGCATTAAGGTTTCTAAAATGTCACCTCTCAGTTCTGCAGTTTTGAACAGGAAGTCTATGGTCATATTTCTAATATTAGTAAGTAAGTAAGTAAAGTTTATATATATATAGCACTTTTCACAGAAGTAGGTCACAAAGTGCTTCACATACAAAGGATAAAAAACAGCATAAGATACATTCATAATAAAATCAGTCATAGCAGCTCTAAAACCTAAGGGGCCGGGAACACTTGTTCAAAGAGAAACATTTTTAGTTGCTCTTTAAAAGCATCAGCACTATCTAGATCAGTGTTTCCAAAACTTTTTTTCTGGGGACCCACATTTTAAAAGTCACAAACCGTCGCAACCCAAGTCAGTAGACATTATTTGTAAATCACAAAATAAAGGTGGATTTGACCATAATTGAACATTAATGAGGATATTTTGAGTGATCGTGTCTCTCTGAACCATATTACTCAAGTTTTAAACAATAAAAAACAGCCACTGGAGCAGCAATAAAAGGATCCATAAGTTGCCTATTTGGACATTAAATGTAGCCCATTTCTTTTTATTTTCAACATTCAATTGAACCAGCAATATCAGAACAAAATAGTCAATAAAAAAGGAGATACGCAGATCAGTGTCAGAACTGTATATTGCAGACCTACATGCAGATCGTGACAAGGCGATCTCTCTTGCGACCCACCTGAGGGTCGCTACCCAGTCTTTGGGAAACATTGATCTAGAGAGCGTAGGTAAGGAGACAATTCATTCCAGAGTTTAGGGGAGAGGGCTTGAAAGGATCTGTTACCTCACATTTTAAAGCTTATCTGAGGGACCATTAGCAAGTTTTGGTTGGTAGACCTCAGGCTACGGGCAGAGGTTTACGGCTTTATCAGATCTGAGATACAGGCAGGAGCCTGGCCATGTAGGGCCCTAAAGGTCAGCACCAGAATTTTAAAGTGAACACGAAAAAAAGAACAGAGAGCCAATGTAAAGATTTTAAGATCGGAGTGATATGTACTCTCCTACTGGTGCAGGTCAGAAGCCTTACCATCTGCAGCAAGGTAGGTTCCTTCTTGCTCATGCAGGTAAACAGACCTAATCTCGAGGACACAAATGCTGTTATTATTAAGCCATTTAAGATCAATATTGCGGTTTAGAATGAAACAAATGTACTCCACACAGTTATAGACTTATAGACTTAGTTATAAAACTAAGTACCTGAGAAAAATATAATGTCTTCTTTGTGATTCATTGGTCAGTCAATATGTTCCAGGGCATACCAGGCAGCTCTAGACTACACCAAAAGTAGCTTGGGCATGTTCATCGATTTGGGTTTAAAGGAGAAGGAGGCCTATGGCTGGCTCCAAGCTGGAAAGATATACCACCTGCTGGGTCAGACTGAACTGGTGGACCTCTACATACAGGTTAGAGGTCAGACTCCAGAGCAATGAAATGTAGTTAGTAAGTAAATTTATTTATACCTGTGTTTGGTGTTGACAGGCAGCTCAAGATGTGTCTCTGAGCACCGGAGACACCAAGTCCATCCTCAGTCTCCTTGAAGCAGCTGGAGATATTTTCTTCAACAGTGAGCAGGACAGAGACAAGGCGATCACTTTCTATAGGGTAAATGCTCTTTTATAAACTTAATTCAACTTAATTCATCATGAGTGTGTTATGAAACGTTTATGTTTATCTCTCAGGACCGTGCTCTGCCTATAGCGACAAAGACCAGCAGTGTCCACATCAAGCTGAGGCTCTGTAATAAACTAACAGAGCTAATGTTAAACCTGAAGATGCATGGGGACGCTGTGGAGTATGCTCAAACTGCACTGGACATAAGTATTTCATTAGGTAAGTCAGAATGTTTGTGGGAATCACAAATTAATTTACATCTCATCTCTGTAAACAAATATGTACTTGTAAGAACGGTGATATTCAAGGGCAAGAATCTTCACCAAGGCACTGATCCTTTTATCACAGCCACTTTTATCACATTTAGGACCATCTAGACCTGCAATAAATACATTCTAGTTCTAATATTCATGTTTTTACCCTTCATGTAGCTAAGGCTGGTGCCCGTATGTGGCAATAGTGAAGATAAAATTACCTTTTTTGCGTTTTTCTTTACTGATTACTGAATACTTTCTTCCTTTTGTTCATCTAAGCCTTTGTATTTCATGTAGAAAGTTCAGTAGATGGTGTAAAAACATTGGTCTAAATATGCAGGGTTACTCAAACATGCTCAAAAAACACAACTCTGGGTATGATTTTCTGTCTTAATTGCATTTGACAGCTTAAGTTGTCTCTATTTCTGTCAGAAGTAGCTTATAGTGTGTTGTTTTTTGTGTTGAGGTGAGTGTCTGAGTGAGCGTGTGGCCTACCATCGACTGGCAGCTCTGTACCACAGTCTGCAGCAGTCAGAACTGGCAGAGCACTTCTACCTGAAGACCCTGGCCCTGTGCCCCAGCCCCCTGCAGTTTGACGAAGAGACCCTGTACTATGTCAGAGTCTACCAGACACTTGGGGACATTATATTCTATGATGTCAAGGTGAAGCCCCATGTAAACCAAAAATACTTTGTACAAATCGTCCTTGTGTATAATTATAATATAGTAGTGGTATTATTTTTTATATTTAATACATGTATTAGTATTTCAACTAAAGGGAGACAGATAGGCAGGGCTATTTTTACTTTGATTTGATTTGATAGGCAGGGCTATAATTAGTTTAAAAATTGGGTGCCTAAAGCCAGAGGTGTAGGAATGAGGAGGAGATGCCATATCTGAGGTTGCTGAAAATTCTGCTGCTGCGGTGAAGATAATGTAGTAATAAGATGAGGCAAGTGAAAGGTAATAGTAGAGGAGACCGTATGTATGTAGCTTGAGAGTTGATTGGTTGAGAGGTTGATCAGTCTAATTACTTTACCTATTATCCACAATTTTTTCAAATCTAAAGCTGAATTTATACTGCATTACTGAGAGTACAATGCAATATTTTCTTTTTAAAGCTACATTTTAGTACAAATACTGTGCTGTCTCTGTAGGATCCATTTGATGCTGCGGGTTACTACCACTTGGCTCTGGCCGCTGCTTTGGACCTGGGTAATAAGAAGTCCCAGCTGCAGTTGTGCACGCAGCTGGCCACCATTTACCACAACTTCCTGATGGACCGAGAGCGCTCCCTGCTGTTCTACCAGAGAGCCAGAGGCCTGGCTGCAGAGCTCAACATCAGGAGAGTCAACATATCACCTGAACAGTACAGTACAAAAACACAGGCCAAACCAAATGGACTTGAATAGACAACTGATTAGATAGGCCACTGTTTGTTCATGGGTTTCAACTTCATGTTGTGTGCAACATTTGAGGGCTTTTTCCTTTTGAAAAGATATAATTTAATCTCAACAGTCTTAATTTTTCATCATTCTGAAACTTTTGTATTTCTATTAGTAAGAATTGTATTTTTGGGCAAAACAAGGATTAGCTGAATGAATGATATTTTAAATTTCATCCTCTTTGTCTAAAATATGTGATTTATTTTAATATATTTTAGGAAATTTTGTTCATTCTATTTTATAAATAAAATAATAATAATAATATAAAATTGATTGATTTACGCACAAAATATGATTGTATTTCCTTGTTTGAGAATCAGCATGGCCTAAATAAACTGCAATCTAAGTATGAATATAATTAATAAAATATAATTATATTTTAGGCTACTGTATGGTGCTATGTTTTCTATTTTATATAGCTTTTCATTTTTATTGCTGGTCTATGACTTTTATATGGCCTTTTGCTTTCAACATTGCCAGTGGAAATCCATATCTGGTCATAAAATAATCAAATGTGACCCTGACAAATCCCTTACTCAGCCTTGCCCATTTATTTTAAGATGTCATCTGTAGTTATACAGTTATACTGCAGTTGTAATAGTGTGAGCGTATCTTACCAGTACATGTTGTAGGAGCTGTTTTTGTAGGTAGCATATATTGAAGTCAGTAGAGTATATAAAAGCCTTATGGAGGAATGACAGGTGCAGATGTCTGAATATTCCCAGGAGAGGATGTTCATGCTAAATATTGTTCCAGGTGCAAAGCTGAAATGACAGGAGCGCCGAGCTGCTGTGAACAAACCACACATCTCTCCGCCAGACATTTTTCCACATTTACTGCTGTCAGGGGACTCATGGTGGCAATGTGCAGGCCTGTAGATATTAAAATTCCAATTGTCAATGTAGGTGCTGAGTCAAGACAAAAATAGTTCAAATGATTCCATCTATACTTTTATTATATTGTGTTCATTTGATTGTTAGGTGCCATGTTTATGCCAAGTGAATATATTTTTTTTTGCTCCCAGCTACAACTGTTATTATTGCTGGTAAAAAATTTTTTTACCAAAAGCTGTTTTGTTCATTGACCTCACGATAAGTCACTATATAACCTTTCTGGTGGGTGATTGTTTCTGTAGAGATGTTATTGTTTATCCTGGAAGGTTTCACTGTATGGTTTTAAACTTTGCTGACTTGCATTTATTCAAATACAGATCAGATCAGGTTGTGTTGGATGTTCTCAACACAACCAACAGATGGCAACATTAACATTTTTTCCTGTGTATTAAGCATTTTTTCCTCTCATGTATTTTTCCAGTATTTTACACTAAGAATGATTTTTGCATAGTTCTTAAACTTTTCACTCATCTTCCTGCCAAAACTACTTCTGTCATTCAGAGGAAACAGGAAACATAGTAACTGCTACATAAATGTTTCTGTAAGTACTGGTCATACTTTTCTATTAACTGGAGCAATAGTGTATGTAGCGGTGAGCTCCGGGCCTCTTGTCAAAGCACACATGACCTATGTGGGCAACACGTGTCAGCCGGTTGCCCCAAACACACCTCCATCTGACCGTGCTCTCCCTTCTCCTGCATCCCAACATCTGGGTCCCATGGGTGCTGGGAGGGGCCTCACTGTCTGTGCACAGTGCAGAGTCAGAACGCACAAAAAAGAGCATATTTCCAACATGAGCTCATGTTGAACTCAAGAAAATGATACTTTTTACTGCACCACTTGTTTTTCACTTCCAACCATCAGTAAAATAAAGTTTGCTTGTAATGTTAATAGACCTCAGTGGGACTGGAGAACTGGCAGGCCTGTACTATGTATGTGACAAAAACATATACACACATAGGGCCTACTATTAAATACATGTGTGTTTGTCTGTCTTTTGCACACTGAATAATATTTTTTTGTTTGTTGTTTCCCATATATCAGAGGGAGAAATTGCTTCTTTAGCTGAACTGCAGACAGTTTTGTGCTGATGTCAGCTGGGGGGAGTCGTGTGTGGAATTTACTGTCCTTGGAGCAGAACATCCATCAGTGTCCTACAACACAGTGGCTATCTTGTTTTTGAGCCTTTTAGATTTGCTTTGAGAGAACTAATATAAACTTCAGTCCAGCTGTGGTGAGAGTGTGAGGCCATGGTCTGCCTGTCTCCAACTGCCCTTACAGGGACAATCGTGTTCCTGGTCTGGTGCAAAGAACGGATGACTTCATGTTTGGGAAAGAAGCAAAAACAAACTGAGCATGGCCTGTGCACTGCTGCACGCCACTGACTGTTGTTCTGCTTTGTTAGAAAAGAGATTAGGAATCCTAAAGCTTCATACAATATGGTTTTAATCTGGGCATTTCCTCAAGATATAACTGCACCAACATGACATCTGCAAACTGAGAAGCTGAGTGAATTATTATGAGGAACTACACTAGTGCTAAATCTTTTCTAAACTTACAAGCCTAGTGGTATTTAACAACCACATAGCTGTTAAAAGGTGTTGGATCCCTCTTAAATAAACTTGGTACCAGTATTTTTGTAAATGTTTTATTTTGATTTGCATCCTGCGTATCAGTGGTGTCTGCAGAACAAAGGTTTATCTTTTGGACAGTTTGGTCTAGTTAAAGTCCACATGTGCTGGCCACATCAAAACATTCACACCCATCTCTCCTTTATGAGCCATACTATGGACATGTTTCCACTCTCAGTTTCTGTCCAAATGTTCCAGGTCTATTTAAGCACATTCAGATGGACAGTTCCTTTCTTAAGACTCTGGACTAAGTATTTCCTCTCACAGGTGCAATGCATCTAGAGGCAACCACATGGTTTCAGCTGCAGCCAAGGGGCACATTTGTGTTATGCCCAGCCCTTTACAAGTGATCAGCTGCATCAATACAAGCACTTAAAACTGACAGAACTGTTTTAGAAAAATCTTAAAATGCACATGTAATTCAAAGTAGTGTAGCTACAGTGATATTTTGGCACTAAGGTTAAGGTTATGAACTGATAAATTCCACATGATACATAATAGTTCTCCTATGGGTGCTCATGTTCTGACCTGTGGCGTCACTGAATAAACTCTGAAAGCGCACGTGCAGTCTAATCAGCTGGTTCTGGGTTAGAGAGACTGGACACTAGTGACAACAGCATGAGACATGTGCATACAGCCTGGTTATATCCAAGTAACACAGCATTGGCAATTAATCAAAACGATGGAAGAAACGCAGGCCAAAGACGCTGTGTCTGCACACTCCGTAAATGTACAGATGTAAGTTGTGTTTATAGTTTGCTCTGGATCTGGAGTCGTTTAGGAGACACGTGACTCGCTGTGATAAAGCGTGAGGTCAGACTCAGTAACAGCGGCCCGCCTCCAGCTCCAAAACAGGACCCGAGCGCTCCCCTCTTCTGCGCACACCGGCTCAGGGTGACACGCTGTGTGCACTGAACACTGGCCTCTGCGAGCTTCATGCTTTAGGGCTTTTACGCACTGTCTTCTAGCTTAGTTACACATTGACTGCATGCTACAAGTTTATCTCAGGGATTACGGTCACTTGCTGCTATTTTATTCCAGTTAACGCGCGGTGATGAGCGCAACAGAGCTGGGTCTATGATGCGCTGCTTGATCTGTCTGTGGAATTCTTCAAAAATGCATTTATTTGTGCTCGCTGTCTTTCTTTACCTCAAAAACGGTGCCAATGCGGACCCCAAAGCCAAGTGCCCCGCGCGCTGTGACGTGAGCAGCTGCCCGAGCCCCAGCTGCCCCGGAGGGTACGTGCCAGACCGCTGCAACTGCTGCCTGGTGTGCGCGCTGGCGGAGGGGGAGCCGTGCGGGCGCAAAGACGACCTGCCGTGTGGTGAGGGGCTCGAGTGCAAGCACCCGGCCGGAATGCGCCTTTCCAAGGGCGTCTGTCAGTGCAAGCTCAACTACGAGGTGTGTGGCAGCGACGGCAAGACGTACGGCAACGTGTGCCAGCTGAAGGCGGCGAGCAGGACCGCGCTACAGCAGGGTCTGCTGTCCATCAGCCTGGTGCAGAAGGGACCGTGCGACTCCGCTACAGGTACGAGCTGTGCACGCTCACTTTCTCTGACAAACTTCAGTTCACTAGACGCTTGCAAAAGAAAAGTTTAGTGTGTTACTGGGTCACGGGGAGTTTATGAGTCATTCCAATCCTCTGTGCAATTACCACGAGATTTTTCATTCAAATATTTCACTGTTCACACTCAATATCATAAAGATTTTTTAATCACTATCCCAAGTTTGACAATTCTTATTCAAGTTTGGAATCTTGAAACATATTGTACAGTTTTACTTTTAATGTCTTTACCCAGAATTTACCAGAGCTCTTGTCCAGTAATTTGTTTACAGACTGAACACCTGCAGGGGAGCAGTTTTGAAATGTTACAACTTACTCTTTCATAGCACCAAAGGTGACACTTTCAGCTTGTAAACATTACCCTCTACTGTACTTGCAGGTGTACAGTAAACTGCCCAGCAGTAGCACCTCGTTATTTGAATCCTAGTAAAGCTCTGATACCTGCACCTGCTCCACTTTACAGGACTGTTGTTTAGTGAAGGGTTCAAAAGCCCAGCTCTTAAACCAAACAGTGGTTAAAGAAAGAAAAGCAGCAGAGCAGATGTGTTTAAAGGCATCTGGACATTTAAGTGATGTAGCAGTGAGGGGCAGAACGAGTCACAAATACAAGGGGTCAGAGGGCAAGTGGGAAGAATGAGTCGTCATCTGCCATTTCTAAGAACAGTTATTACCAAGCTCCATGCTCAATAACCTGCACTGGCTATAAATAAATGTTGTTCTGACTCGCTTCAAATGATGTGTTGAGTCGTCTGGGCAGTGTTTATGTTGGTGCCAAATTTGGGCACAGCTTGTTGTAAAAGGGTGACATAAGCAGACGGCTTCAGAGACATTATGCTTGTTTCCTGTTTAATAGTTGCAGACAAAACTAAATATAAAAGACCGTGGGCTGTGGAAGCAGTACCTGGCTTAAACCCCAAATCCTGGATGAGAAAACTGTAGGTCCTTGCCAATTAATTCATATTTTCAGCAGACTTTGAATTTTCTCCAAAGAGCTAAATCAAGATATCTTTAATAATGCACAAAGACTGTAAAGATTTTGTAAAAGAAAAAGTTAATAGGTCAAATATAATAGACTACAATATAAAGCAAATATTACCTCAGAAGTCGTTTTGAGCAGGACAAGTGAGTAATTTATTGGCGCATTTGAACAAAGGTGGCTAGAGTAGCCAAAAAAATTAGTAAAGTAAGTGTTACTTCAAAATAATCACTCAAGTAGAAGTCTGAAGTAGGGTTCCAAGAAAAAAGTAAAAGGGAAAAGTTGCTCAAGTAAGAGTAACTTAAAGCGTAACAATCTGCAAGTAACATCTGATTTATGGTTTGAAGTTGATGTAATTTGAAGAACAAAAACACTAAATAATGCACAAAATCTGCTCTTTTCAAAGCAAAAACACAAAAATGAGAAAAACAAAATCTAAATCTAAAGGAGCAGTGCAAGGAACACAAAAGCTTGGATGGGAACATTAACTAAAACTTGTATAACTTATTAAAAAAGTAAAAGTATGTTGCTAAAAAAGTAGCTACTCTGAAAAGTATAGTCTCTAAAATGTAAAGTATGTAAATATGACTACTATAGTGCTACGCATCTCTGGAATCGAGCCTCTTACATTTATGAAAAAAGACCAAAGTTGTAATTCTCCTGCGTTACAAAACAGTAGCTCTTGTCCTGTTTACAAAGTACACTTTCTGTCCATTAGAAATCACAGGTTCCGGCTCCAAAACATCACCTGTGTTTGGCTCGTCTGTGTGGCACGAACTTTACTGGCGTCTGTAAAAGTGGAACAGTTTAGAGTTTAGAAGTGTTTATCCAGACTGCAGCCCAGAGCGGGTCATTCCAGTGCACGCCGCGGATCACTGCGACTCAGAGAATAAGTAGGCGAACTATACTATCACGGTGCTGAGGGATAAAGCGGGAATGTAACAGGCCAAATGATGCTAATGTGAGAACGTATTAACATGAAAAGGTCGTAGGGTCGTCTGGAGGAAAAAGAAAGTGGCTGTCGGAACTTTAACAAATGACTTCCTGTATGATGGAGCATTCCTTGGAGGCACGATCAGACTGAAGTGAAGAAAAACTACAAAAGTATCTCAACTAATGGGCACTTACACTGAGAGACAAAATACAGCAAATAGCCTATAAGATACTTTTGGTTATACCCATACTGTTCTTCAATAAATGTCAAAATCGCTATGGTAGTAGAGTGACCAGACATCCCTATTATTATTATTTATGTATTTATTTGGGGCAAGTAAGAAAAGTACATTCTTTTACAACAGAAGATGTAATATTCATGAAATCATAGCAGAAATAACAATAAATAAATAAATTGGCCCAAAAAGGAGTGGGAAGAAGAAAACTTATTTAACTTTTTTGAGCTCTGTGTCCATTGTTCTATCAGATTTATTGAAAACCAGTGATTTGTCCCAGTTTTATACAAGAAATGTCCCTATTTTTGACCAATTTAATCTAAACCAGCCCTAAATTAAGACTAAACCAGGACTACACCAACTCTAAACCAGGACTAAAACAGGACTATCACAATTTTTGACTAATCTGGTCCTTGCCAACAGTGAAGAGGAGCATAAATCGACATTTGTCTTACCAAAATATCAAAAAACGTGTTTGCGAATGACCATAAAGCAAAAAAAGTGCAGCAACAGAAGCCCTTCAGATTATTATGACTGAAAAAGAATGCACAATTGCTCTTTTACATGCTCTTTTCACTATTTTATTTACACCAACCATCCCAACCCGGGTGTGTCCCAGTTTATCATTTTGAAAATTATCACTCTTTACAGTAGGCCATTGTTCATTCATTTGCCACAGTGCATAGTGAGGTACAATCTATAGTCACAGCTGCCATGGGATGGACTAGCTGAAATGTGACTACCAATCTGCTCCATTGACTTGGAAGTTGGAAATTAAAAAGTTGTAAAACAATTGACAGAGCATTAGCCTTTGAACTAGTATAGAAGACCCAGTGCCCAACGTACACACTGTATTATTGTGGGAGAGGAACCTTTTATAATTGGCAGAGGTTTATTTTTCCTGTTTTCAATACAATAGGCTCTGTGCACAGTAGGCTCTATTCACGCTTACGTCACAAACCAGGAAGACGTTTGGAAACACACTAGGGATGTAACAATATCCAAATGTCTCTATGCATCTCACGGTACAATATTTATTGCGATATTTTGGAGACGCTGATATAATTGTAGATAGGATACTTTTTTGCTTTTAAAATACCCTGAGAAGATTTTGGTGTGATTTATTAGCGTCATAATCCAAAGAATTCAAGTAAAAACATGTTTCTTCATGTTGTCTGCGCTGAAATGAATCATGGCATATGTAATTCCCTATGTTTATTAGCTATTGCTACTATAAAACAATGAATTTAAGCAAAGGAACTTGTAATTCAATATATTGTGACAACCCACGGTATTATGTGAGACTTTTGACAATACGATATCACGATATTTCAGTTATTGTTACATCCCCGGAACATATGATTACAACTTATGGCGGGTTCTGTTCATGGTAGTAAGTCTGACAAAATGTAGGAAAAATTAGAAAATGGCCCAGTTTTCTTCATCTACATGTCATTGTCGCATTCCATTTTGTTTGGGTAATCAACAAATATAACCATACCTCAGTTTGTCATCATTTCCCGACTGACACACAACTCTGAGCGCATTGGGTACATGTGATTTGAAGAGATGAGGTGCCAGATTCAAGATGATTCCAAACAGCACATATGTATCCAGTCTTCATTTTACCACTGATCACATTTACTTCAGTCAGTTTTATCACAGTGGGTCATCAAGCCCAGTGTCAGTAACTACACTGGAAGTTGTCATCGCATGTTTCCAAACGTCTTCTTGGTTTGAGCCTATAGCGCCCGAGAACCTCACTGTTAGCTTCAATTCTTCCTGTACAACTTTATCTCTATGAGTTTTTTACCGAGTCGTGCTGAAATTAATAAATATTTACAGATAAGACAGTGAGGGACAGGCAGCTGCAGGTTGAGGACACTGACAACAAAACTACACAGATAAAATCAATACTAGAGAACGATACTAGACAATTGTGAGGCATAATTAGAGTGACCTGTTTTCAAAATAAAAAAACTGGGTCATCTCTATTTTGTGGTGGTTGGTAATAATAAAATTGTGAAACCAACGCGTAATTAAAGAAAACTGCTTCACACTCAGCACTCAGTATAGTCATATTTTCTTCGTGTTTTTGTCGTTTTTAAGCAGCTTTTCTGTATTTTACCAAAACAAATGACAATTTATGTCTCTCTTTCCTGTTGGCAGGGATCAGATTGGTCAAAAATTGGGACACCTGGGAATTTTTTTGTATAAAACTGGGACAAATCACTGGTTTTGTGTAAATCTGCTGGGACAGGGGACACAGGGCTCAAAACTGGGACTGTCTCGTGTAAATAGGGACATCTGTTCACCTTCGGGCATAATAAATATCACGTCAACACCACAAACTGTGTTCTACATATACAAATAATTGGGTAGTTTTTCTTTTAATTCATTTGAACTTTAATAGGCTGTTTATATTATTATTTTTTTTACAATTTTAGCCTATAAACAGCAAAAAATAAGAGTTAAGCGTTAGTATTTTGCAGCAGCGTTCTCTTGGTTTTGAACCCTTTATCTTCCCAATCTTCAGCTGCATGTGCACGAGTGGCGCCATGTTTACGCCAGAGTTACAGAAAAAGCCAACATACACTCTAATCTCAGTGGACATGACGGATGATTTGCCACAACAAATTTGGGAGGAGGCATTTGTGGGTCAGTCTGCCATGTATTTTTAAACCAGCCCCACCCTCGAGGAGGTAATGGTCCACTGAATTCGCTGCATGTGTGCCAGCCACCATCACTGCAGCCCAGGCAAAATACATGGGTTTTGTTCAAAGCATAAATAGTGCGGGCTGCTGGGACTTCCTGTTTCCTCTGCAGATAGAAATCACTGTGTAGAGAAGGACATGTGTGGAGAGGAAAGACGTGATGGGTTTAACATCAGTGCAGTAGAAGTCTGTACTATCTATCAAACTGTCAGTCAGAAATATACTGCATATGTTCACGGAGAATCCATGTAAATCCATGTATCATTTGTTCATTCGTTTTTCAAAATAAAATCAAAAATAAGAAAATGAAAAAACAAATATTTTCTTTATTATTTGTCACGAAACCCAAAATGAGAAAATGGATAATAATTATTTTTTTTTGTTTTGGATTTTATGTTTAAATGAGTAATGGAAAAAACTGATAATGTCCTTTTCCCGTTTTTGTGTCGCATACGGACTGAACCAGGACTAAAACAGGACTAAACCAGGTCTAAACCAGGTCTAAACCAGGACTGAACCAGGACTAAACTGGTCTCAAACGCGGTCTGGTCCAGGTCTGATCCCGGTTTCAATCCTGGTCTGGTCCTGGTCTCAGTCCTGTTCTCAGTCCTGGTCTCAATCCTGGTCTCAGTCCTGGTCTGGTCCCGGTCTCAGTCCTGATCACCCGACAGTGTAAGGAGGCACATCTCCGGGCCTGTTCTGATACTCAGTCCCGGTTCAGTCCTGGTTTAGGTTTAAACTTGGTTTAGACCTGGTTTATTCTTGGTTGACTCCTGATTTAGACTTGGTTTAGTCCTGGTTCAGTCCTGGGATCAGCCCTGTTTTAATCCAGTTTCAGTCCTGGTTCAGTCCGTATGCTGCACAAAAGACCCACAGTTTAAGTCACAGAAACGGGAAACGGCCATTATCCATTTTTTCCATTATTAATTTAACCACAAAATTGAAAGCTGAAAAAATGAATCATTATCCGTTTTTTCATTTTGGATTTGGAGACAAATAATGAAGAAAATAGTTGTTTTTTCGTTTTCTTATTTTTGATGTGAATGAACAAATGAACGACTGATGCACGGATTGGATTACAGAGGTTTCACAGATATACAAGAAAAAAGATACAAATTTCAATGCTGTAATAATAATACAAACAATAAATTTTTACACAATAGAATATATACGTTATAATATATTCAACCTCAAAATAACAGTAGTTGCTTTAATTGTACTATGTGGTTTCAGACAAGTTCTGATAGATCTATAGATAAAACTATTCAGGAAACATTCTGTCCTATTTATACGTGATTTTGTTCAATATCAATGTAATATTTGTTCAAGTTTGTATTTTGTTTCAAGTAGTAGTACTAGTTTGGCATTACTTGGTATATCGTAGGGGAGATTCAGTGCTGGCAAAAGGCAAGAGACCGCGGCGCGACAACCGTAGTTTTGCAAGGATTCACTGGGTTCAGAGGGATGTAGTCAAGGCGGGGGACAATTGTTGGCAAGGCGGTCGCGCTAACTATAAAGCACTGCAGGAAACACTGCCTCACCAATTATAGACGAGTGAATATTAAAGAGCCGAGTGAGTTTTAAAGAGCTGAGTCTTCCATGTTGCTGCACATGTAGTGGTGGAATGTAAACACACAAATTGCGCGAACTCACTTGTGCACTGCCCTGCATTGAACCAAACATCCTACATGGAAACAGTTCGGCACGAATACATGTACCATTACACTCCTAGAATAGAGGTCTTGAGTTTTTGACAGCCCTAAACTAAAAAAATAAACTGACATTAAGTTGTGTGAATTGTTTTAAATCCTGAAATTATAGTAATAATATTTCAGAGCTAATAAAACTGGCAAAGTGATTCCGTACTGTAAGAGTTTGTGTATTCAGTATCATTCCGTGTTTTGCCCCATTGAAATAACTTTGCATTTACACCATATCAATTCCAATAACTTCCACGGTTTTACAGCTAAAGCTAACATTAGTATATCTGCGAGGGTTCGGCTTTCTGAGGACACAGTATCAGCAGGACCCACTGGCCTCTGCACTCAGTTGCACTTTGCCTGTTATTTGAGAAACGTTTAGACTAAAATAACAAACCACATTTTCCTCAAGGAGTTTGGCTGAGCAATCAGAGGAGCAGCTTTAGAGATGGCATCAAAGGCTTTATTACAGGCCTTACAAGCACATTTTTACATTTTGGGCCATCATATTTCAGACCCAACCCTTTTTCTGTATGATTTTTATGACTGCGACTGATGTGGGTTTGTACAAAATCACAGATATTTCAAGGTCTGGTATGGGGTTCCACAGGGATCCATGTTAGTTCCCTTAATGTTTTATTAAGAAGTATCAGTTTTGAGCTTATAATACGCACCATTTACTCATGATATGTTGCCAATTATTTATACTCCAACTTTTATAGCCCAAGACTGAGGAATACTCATTAAATAAAATGGACTGGAATGGGCTCATAAATTCATTATCATTTGTCGTAACATGATCTCATTTTGGGTTATTAAATTTTCTTGGGAATTCGCCAGGAACATATTTCACCTTAACTCTTTTGCCAACGTATGTCTTCCTTATGACTACCTTATGTTACCTCTTATGGATTCTTTCATGCAGGATTTACTGTTCAAACTGTTGGCAGGAGGCTCTGTAGATTTCTATTTTTTATATTTACATCAAAGACCCTTCATTTTTCACCATCTTATTCAGATGTACTTTATGACCCCTTTTGTCTAGTCTGTAATGGATGTGGGTTGCTGAATAACTATTTGGCCAAAGTGTTTTAATTCATTTTAGACGACAGGGTGGGTAGACTCTAGGAAAGGGCCACTAAACCTTTTGGCTGACATTTTTGCAGTTTTAACAACCAGTTTGGAGCGACAGTTATGAGTTACTAAAATGCATTATTCTTTCTGCCAGTATAGGTCCCTCTCATGTGGCCAGTCCTCGCTACAAGTTCAACTTCATCGCTGATGTTGTGGAGAAGATCGCTCCTGCTGTGGTGCACATAGAGCTTTTTCTGAAGTAGGTTCACTCTCTGTATACAAACACCACATTCTTATATTTCTAGGGATACTCCAATACTAGGGATGTAAAGATATCCAAATCTCATGATACAATATTATCACAATATGCATCTCACAGTACAATACTTACTGCGGTATTTTGGAGAAGCTATTGTAGATAAGGTATTTTAAAAGCAATAAGTATCCTAACAAGACTCAATTCAAACCAATACTGTCATAATCCCAGGAAATAAAGTTTAAAAAAACTATTTCTTCATGTTATCTGCACTGAAATGAATCATGGGACATGTAATTCTCTGTGTTTCTTAGCTGTTACTACTATAAAACAATGCATTTAAGCAAATTAACTTGTGATTCGAAATATTGTGACAGCCCACGATATTACTGAGAGCCCTTTTACGATACGATATCATGATATTTCGGTTATTGTTATCTAGGGGTGCAACGATATCCAGGTCTCATAATATGATATTGTCACGGTATGAACCTCATGGTACGATATATATTGTGATATTGTGGGAAAGCTCACGATATGGTTGGGAGACTCACAATATTACGATATTATACATAATAACAAGACTGACATTATAAAATGCTTTGAGCAGTTATTTGGTACAACATTTGTTGTCATATTCTAGGGATGTAACGATATCCAAATTTCACAGTAATATTATCAAGATATGAATCTCACGATATGATATTTAATGGGATATTTTGAAAAGGTTAATAATTAAAGATGGGACACTTTCTTGCTTTTAAAATACCTTGACAAGATTTTGGTGTGAATTATTACTTGTATTATTATAGTAATAATCCCAACAATTCAAGTAAAAAACATATTTCTTCATGTTGTCTGCGCTGAAACGAATTATGGGATATGTAGTTCTCTATGTTTATAAACTGTTGCTACTGTAAAACCATGCATTTAAGCAAAGGAACTTGTGATTTAATATATTGTGACAGCCCACGATATTATTGTGAGACTTTTGAGAACGCGATATCACGATGTTTCGGTTATTGTTACATCCCTATTGTTATCTTGAGACAATACCAATATATGTCATGTTTTTCATGCATATCATGCTGCTGAGGCTGATAACCTATTTTGCCAATACCAATATTACCACAAAAACCCATGTCAAGTTTTAGTAAAGTGTTCTAATTACATGCTTACTTTGATTTGTAAAAAATGTTTATCTGGGCTCTTAAATCATTTGTGGCGTAGTTTTGTAAATATACAGCCATTTTTGTAGCCTAATTACTGGGACAAACTGGGAATGTGGATACATTTGTGAATTATATCCGTCTCTATTGAGGTAAATGTGAATGTTCCTCCAGGGTTACAAAATATTTTTATCAGACTTATACTTGATGCACATTGTATCCATGGTTATGTTACAGCACTTACTTCATCAGACAGAAAACCTGCAGAATCGATGGAAAACTTCACATGCACCATTCGCTTTTACACTCAACAACCTTTTTTCTAGCCATGTCTCAACCCTGCCCTCTGCTCAGCCAGCTCAACTTTCTGTGCTTTGTTTCACAGCCAGAATGTTACCATATTTTTCTTGTCTTGTTTTTCCAGACACCCTCTGTTTGGTCGGACCATCCCTCTGGCCAGCGGCTCTGGGTTTGTGATGTCTGAAAACGGTCTGATCGTCACCAACGCCCATGTAGTGTCCAGCAACACTCAAGTCTCCGGTCAGCAACACCTCAAGGTACTTGGCCCAAATATCAACGAAGTCTGGGAATCACAGGGTCCCTCAGCATTCAATACAATACACAAATCATAATTCGCAAATTTTTAAATAACCAAATACATTTTCAGTATTTCTTAAACCACTACATCTAGAAAACTTAATCTGTCATTTTAATAATCAGTGAACATGTCAAATTTATTTATTTACCAAAAAATACTTACTGATGATATCTAGATTTAGCAGCCCACAATATCCATACTGAATCACCAAATTTAGTTCTACATATAGCAATATTTAGATATTTTAGCATACCCTTAATAAGCCAGGCTAGCGCCACCTCGTACTTCTGCTCAATTTCATTTCTCTCCAGTGACTAGGTCAGGAATTATAATACACTAGACGGTTTGCAAAAACCCCGGAAATGTGAGTTCAGACACCAGCCAATCAGCGAAGAGACATACATTCTGTGTTGGCAACGATTCCCGAGATCAAAGATTAAAAGCCGGAACAAAGAGAATGTTTGGTGAATTTTATCAAGGGGAAAGACGTTATTGCCCTTCTTCCTACGAGATTTGGAAGAAGCTTAATATTCCACACTACATACGTCACAACCAAATAGCAGCAAATGGTTAAATAAAAATGAGGTCAGACGGTTTCCACAAAGTGAAAGCAGCTGATGACTTAAGATAATCCTTAATATCAACATAGTACAAAACAATGCTTAACTAGACAGTAAGATGGAGAACAGCTTGAAATGTATCATCAAGTTTTCCTTGGAGTATAATATTACCCTGGAAGAGCAAAGAAAACACTCTTGAGATCACCCTCTGTAATGAAGTGTTGCAACAGGAAAGAGGACTACTCTGACCGTCTCATGGGCCCTTCGCTTTCTGACCTCATGGCTTTTTGTATAATATTTTCTATACTCATGACATACAGTATATCCTTGCAGCAGTATAAGTATCACTAATGTAATGTTCTGCAAGTAAACCTAAGACTACAGTGTACGTGCTTTACCCTATAGGTCCAAATGCAAAATGGGGACGTATTCGAAGCCAGTATCAAAGACATCGACAAGAAATCGGACATCGCCACCATCAAAATTAACCCGCAGGTAAGTGACTGTGCTATACATAACATTCCTCAGCGACCGCAAAGACCCGGTTCTTCTAATAAACAAGATGGTGTTTGTGATGGAAAAGTAGTAAATAGTTTTGAAATCCAGTAAAGTTCACCACAAAATGAGGAATGCATTAAATAAACATGACCCAAATTAGTTGCACAAAAACAGTACAGTTTAAGGTTTTAAGATTTTTTTATTAGTACCCAAGGGTAATCATAAACCTCGAAATCAACAATAGACTGTAGGCTATTGGTAACACCCTAAAATAATTACAATGTTAACAGCCTTAATAAAAATGAGCAAAGATACATGATGAACAAATTGTTTTCTACTAAGCCTGAAATGTCTTGTTGATTTTCACTGGTGAAAACACTTCATTTTAAATGTTTTGAAGTGGTCCAAATTGACTTATGCATTCCAGGAATCCTAATTATTCACTGCAGTGAGTTTAAAAGTGCTTTTTGCAACTTTCCGTGGCCAGAGCAGAGTTTGCTGTTAGGGTTAGGATGACCAGATGTCTTTATTTTTCTGGGACAGTCCCAGTTTTGAGCCCAGTGGATTTATCCAACCCACCCAAAACCACTGAATTGTCCCATTTTTATGTAAGAAATATTCCAGGTGTCCCTATTTTTGACCTATTTGATACTTGCCAAGAGTAAAGAGAGGAATAAATTGTAATTTGTTTATGTAAAATACAAAAAATCTGCTTAAATGACCAAAACAAAAAGAAAATGTGACTATACAGACTCACATTAGATACACATTTGTCATGAATGGTCTCTGCTTAACAATTTTCCTTAATAGTCCAATGAGGTTCATTTGGTCTTCCGATTATTTATGTTATTAGGTTCTTTTTTCAGACCCAGAGTTTGTTTACATACCTGACATACATACCTCAGAGTGGTCACTTGACGTTGCTGTGACGTGTCTGGTGAGCTGATTTATACAGGTTTAAAAATCCTAATAACATAAATTTTCCTTATTTATGCACTCGCTTCACAATTTTATTCACCAAAAAAACAAGGATGTCCCAGTTTTTTATTCTGAAATTCTGGTCACCCTAGTTAGGTTGCATTCAAGCACACTCTTCCTGGTTCCTGGACTGGATTATGCATTATAATTAGATGCAGACAGTACACAGCTGATTTATTTTGACCTCAAGAGCTGCTTTTACAATATATCTGGACTGGGCCAAGACTTTCTGTGTAAATACATGGAACGAAATCAGAACCTTTAAATCTTTCTTCATGCTTTATGTATTATAGGTATATTCAGTTATAGAAAAATATTTTAATTCCTGTTTACTGACTTCTTACACTTTAGATGTATGATTAAAGAGCATAAAATGAAATGAAAGCCAAGTTTCAAGTCCAAGTCCACTGCACACAGTTAAAATGATTTACTATTTTGACTGTTTATTTGACTAGTGCGCTCTTCACCGTCAATGATGTCCAAGGAAAACGAGTTTAACAAAGATCTAGTGCGTCAAAGGAACAGCTTGAGCAGGATACTCCCCCAAAGCGAAAACAAATGTAATGTAGAGATATGACTAAAGGCACGTCACTTCTGCCAAATGAGAACCACATTTCTTTGGCCTGTCCACAGCTGCAGCTTCACACCGTTGGTTAAAGACAACAATGGCAGGGACGTAGTGCGACCCCAGGCTGACCCTGGTGTGTTGGAGCAACCAGGAGACTTGGGCCAGAACAGGGCAGGGAGAAGAAAAAGAAAGAAAAAGAGAAAGAAAGAATAACAGGTCCAATCTCTGCTCCACCAAAGAAATGACAGAAGAGAAGCATGTGTTTCTAGTCAGGACACTCCCAACATTCACAGCGTGTCTCATTCTGATCAAGATTATTTACTAACAGCGTGCAAACTAAGATATTTCACTGTGGTAAAATTTTAAAAAGCAAACTGTTTTAAAGCAACTTTTCTGCCACCTGCTTGTCTCCATAAAGGTGCTCTTATTTGTCTGAAATGTGTATGGCAGAATGTTTAGTGGAGACGGCACAAGGTCAAGTTTGCTCAGAGACATCCCAGAATGCAGATTTTTCAAGGTGCTGTTTTGGCGGATAAAATGTCTGGAATTGAATTAAGGCAGTGCAATCAATCAAATTTTTATCGCAATTTCAATTTGTGAGTCACACGATCTCCAAACTCATATAATCAAGTTGAAACGACAACACAAGTTCAAGCTCTGCCAAAAATACCTCAGGAAAAAAGAACAAGATGGTAAAGATTGAAAACGTGAAGTGTCCAGCACAGTCTCCAGACTTAAACCCCATCGAGCTGGTTTGGGATGAACTGGACAGAAGAGTGAAAGCCAAGAAACCTACAAGTGTCACACATTTATGGGAACTTCTGCAACAGACTTGGGAAGAACTTTCTGAAGAATATTTGATTTCTATTGTTAAAAGAATGAGCCACGAGTGTGTTCAGCTGTTATATCTGCTAAAGGATTACACTTTGATGAATCTAAAGTTTAGAATACGTTTTGGTCAACCCTAAACAGTAAACATTAAAAAACTGGAAAAATTGTGGTGTTCTAAAACTTTTGACTGATAGTGTATTTATTTTAGTTTTTAAATATAGAGATTGTAGAACATCTAGATATATAGTTTATTTTAGATACATTTATGATTTTCTATGTCATGTTCAAAGTATATTTTATACATTTTATGTTTTATACATCTAAGGTACATATTTGTAACCTATATTTATTTTCAATACAAAGCGTTTTTGTATTTTTTGTTTCTGAGAGAGAGAAATGCTGAATAAAGGCATCGTGTAACTAAAAAAAATAATCCTTTTATTAATGATGATTTCAATATTGACCAAAATAATCATTATAATGATTTTTTCCAGCCCATGCAACATACAGTAGTTAATGTATTTAATTGAGGCACAGTCCAGACAATGGAAGGCAGGTCCTCCACCAAAAAAATTATAGTGCACGTTGTCCAAATTATATGAATATTTATGTAGTATTGCCTTAAAAATCTATGCCCACTACCGACTATCACTTTCATACACACATGTAGGTAAACTGGATTGGCCAAAGACACAATGCCACCATTCCAATCTCCACTATACATCTATTAAAATGCTGGTTGAAATCTGAGGACATCTTAAAAGCCATCTTAACTCAGCTTTGCCTTTATGTGACTTTAATCAACATATAATTAACATCTATCTGCCTTGTACTCCAGACCAAGCTGCCAGTGCTCTTCCTGGGCCACAGTGCTGACTTGAGGCCTGGGGAGTTCGTGGTGGCCATCGGCAGCCCCTTCGCCCTCCAGAACACAGTGACCACCGGCATCGTGAGCACAGCACAGAGGGACGGCAAAGAGCTGGGCCTGAGGGACTCGGATATGGACTACATCCAGACTGACGCGATTATCAATGTAAACTAACAACTCAAAATGTAACATAAATCCAGTTTGATCCATCCTGCTGACTGTTGTGTGTTCTGTTTACAGTACGGCAATTCTGGAGGACCTCTCGTTAATCTGGTAAGATTCTGTTCAGTATATTTACATTGTTGTATATTGATCCTACGTTAAATGTTTTATTTTGAACATAAGTATGCTCTTTTGTTTCAGGATGGAGAAGTTATTGGCATCAACACATTAAAAGTAGCCGCAGGGATATCCTTTGCCATCCCCTCAGACAGGATCACACGGTTCCTCAATGATTCCATGGACAAATTCAGCAAAGGTGAAGTCTTTTTGATTTTTTATATCTTTTTTAAATCTGCAGATAGACCCACAGAGACTGAACAGCTCACCTTTTGTTTCAGACACAAGGCTGATTAAGAAGAGGTTCATCGGCATACGGATGCTGACCATCACACCCACGTAAGTCACAGATAACCTTTTCTCCTGTGAAAAAAGCCCAATATTCTGAGGTTATTTAGAATGAAAATATAGAGTGATATACTGTTTTTCATCCATAATTAAAGGTGGCTGTGTCTTTGTGGGTGGTCAAAAACCGGGGATGTCCACAGGGGGATTATCAGATAAATGAAAAGAAAACGAATGGGACACTTTTCAACAATAAACATTGTTTTAAATTTTTCCAAATCATTGTTACATTTAAGATATAGTCTTTGCATATTTTCATGAGCTGCTTTCTTTGCCTCCTAACACAAGCCTAATCACTCACAGGCTTGGGAAAATTTAGATATTAAATATTTATTTCATTGCCGAAGTCCTTTTTTGTGGAGAAGAATAATAAATAAAGTCTGTGTTGTCTTTGTCAGGCTGATAGAAGAGCTGAAACAGCAGAACCCAGACTTCCCTGATGTCTCCAGTGGGATCTACGTGCACGAGGTGGTTCCTCACTCTCCGGCTCAGAAGTAGGTTTAAGTCTCACTTTATTTGACAGTGTCTGTGTGGTTTCATCGTGGAGATCTCACTCTTTCTTGTCTTATGCAGAGGGGGCATTAAAGATGGAGACATCCTGGTCAAACTCAATGGTAAACCCCTGATGAAAACAGCTGACCTACAGGGGGCGCTGCAGGAGGAGACAGCTCTGCTACTGGAGGTGCGGAGGGGCAATGACGACCTCCTGTTTAATATTGAGCCTGATGTGATCATGCAATAACCCAAATGTACGTGAACCTTAAATGACTGTGCTTAGACCAGTGGTCTTAAAACTGGACTGTCCCACTGGGGACTGATGCTGGACAATTCAGGACAGTGGACAGCTGATGGTACTTGGGACAACCTCCTTCTAACCAGAAGACAAGAGGGACACACCAGCAAGATTCTTACACAATATACTGTACTTTAGACGTTTGGTCTAGTTTGTTATTTGTTCTTTAGAACAAACAGTGAGAGCAAAGAGAGTGTGTCATGTACTGGGAGCATCCTGGAGATGCAACATCTTCTTAATTGGCACTTCTTCTTTTATAGTAGTATATTAATGACCATGTTAGTATATTAATGACCATATTACTGTATTAGTGACTAGCTCTTGACCAGTTTAAGCATGTGCCACAAGTGAGCAGCTGTTGCAGCCATGACAAGAGCAAGAGCAGTTATCATTTGACTGTACTGTGTCTACTGCCTCCGGTCTAACTAAACATGCATGTCATTTATCTGACTGACAACAGTGTGAACAACTCACTGATGCTAAATACTAATTTCATCATAACAATCAACTGAATATCGCTGCACATGTTCTTATGCAGGCTACAGAGGAGTAATGGGTTTGGCTCATGTTGAGTAAAGTGAGGTTCTTAAGAGGATGAGGTCTTTTGTAGCTAAGCTGGCCTGGGGCTTATTAAAGAGTCCTTTAGTGACAGGGACTGTGTATCCCTTGTTTTTTGTTTAGTTTGTTTAGTTTTTTGTTTGTTGTTTTTTTTGACAAATGTTTGACGTACTGTTGTATGTTTTTGTCCAATAAACAGTTAACACTTGAATATCAACACATGTAATATTTTTTGCCTAGTCTGATGTAAATAATCTTAAAACCTACACCCATCTGTGTGCATTTAAGTTTTTACAGCCACACTTAAATGTTTACAGACTTTTACATATGGGTTTGGAAATTCATGCGATACAAAATTTTATGAGAGATGCAAATTCTGCTATTCTGTACACATTAAAATTATCATGGAGAGATACAACATAGAAAAGAAAGATTATTTTGTAGACATCGTTTACATCCAGATTCATGAGCACCAGTGGGAAGAGCCTCTTGTGGGAATAGGTGTCTGTACTTAAAGATTCCTGAATGGAGCTGTGTGTTTGGGTTCAGTGCAGACACATGGAGGACATTTTCTGCTACTTTTGGTTTTGTGGTGGACGGTTAATCCCCCTCCTCCCCACAGTGGCTCTAGGAAACACTGAGGTCATGAAAGCTCCAAGAAACACAAGATGTTTAGAGTAAGCACCATCAATTAGCACTATAAGAGTTATAATCCAGGAAACACCAAAGGAGAATTTAATAAGTTTGCAAAAATAGTCAAATTTGGGATAATTTTTCTAGAAATATTTAGTTTTACCCAAGAGTTTGTACACAGTGTAAAAGTAATAGTACTCCATAGTTGAAGCAAGAAGTGTGACATATGTTGATTTTGGTTGGGACATTGAAACATCAAAGAGCAACATAAGATTAGTTATGAAATGTTGCACAATAACACTAGGGTTGGTGTCTTGCTCAAGGACACAACAAAAGCGTATCAACAATTACACTACAAACCTTTAGATAAGCTGATGAATGTTAAAACCAAAGCAAAAAACTGGATGTGAACTCTTGCAAATGCGCATTGTGGAGTGTCTTGCTCAAGAACACAACAGAAGTTTGCACTGATAGAGTAAGTCGTAAGTGAAATTGTAAATGCAAAATTGCTTTTCATATGCTGCTTTTGTTTCTTAGAATTCTATAATTCTTTAAAGGGTTTGGAGTTATAAGTACTTTTTACTTCAGCCTAAACTCTTTCGGTCATGAGCCATGGGGTTGTAGTCTATGTTTTGCTTTGTTGGGCTGCAAAATAATAGAATAAACTACAACTACTACTACTGGTACAACAACCACAATTACTACCACAACTCCTACTGCAACTCTTACTACTACTATAACTTCTACAACTCCTTCAACAACAACTACACCAACAACTACATCAACAACTACAACTACTACAACTCCTACTACAACTCTTACAACTACTATAACTCATACAACTCATACAACAACTACAACAACTACAACTACAACAACTACAACTACAACAACTACAACTACAACAACTACAACTACAACAACTACAACAACTACTACTACTACTACTACTACTACTACTACATCAGCTACAACAACTACTACAACTCCTACTACAACTCTTACTACTACTATAACTCATACAACTCATACAACAACTACAACAACTACAACTACAACAACTACAACAACTACAACAACAACAACTACTACTACTACTACTACTACTACTACTACTACTACTACTACATCAGCTACAACAACTACTACAACCCCTACTACTAGTACTACTACAACTCCTACTACTTCTACAACAACTACTACAACTACAACTACAGCTAGTACAACAACTGCTACTACAACAACCACAACTACAACTACTACTCCTACTACAACTACAAGAACTACTACAACAACAACCACAACTTCTAAGACTACTCCTATTACTACAACTCCTACCACTACTCCTCCTACTACTACAACTCCTACTAATCCTACTACAACAACTACAACTACTACTACAACTACAACTACTACAACAACCACAACTACAACTACTACTCTTATTACTATTACAGCTCCTACAACTCCTACCACTACTACTACTACTACTACTACTACAACTCCTACTACTATTATTACTACGGGAATTAAACTTCCAACCAGCCTTTAGTTAAGTTGACGAACGCTCCACCACTGACCCACTGCTGCCCGACCAGTGTCACATCTAGTACTTTTTTATTGCAGTAAAACTGGTTTAATAAGAACTTACAAAACTGTCTAATGCTCAACTAAAAATAGATCCACCCATCTCCAAACCGTCTAAGATATTATGTTTATGGAATTTTCCTGATCTTAGCCGTGCCTTTTGTCTTTATTAAGTCTTTAAACTCTGAATGTTGAAACGATGTGTATATTTATGTGCGTGATGTAACACTGACCTAGTTTCTCTTGCACACGCTCAGACAGAACTGTTCCACATGGACCGTAATGGCAGAATGCAAGTCATTTTGACAGGCCTGCTCCAAATATGGCATTATCTGAATATTTGAATTGCCGAATAAAATTATCAAGAGGAAATGTAGGATTCGTTAGTTCCAAAATCAGCACAACAGAAGAGAAGGGCTTGAACTTAGCACAAAAAGTATGTGCTGTTTTAGGATTCCACGCTGAACTGAACTAAATTACTGAAATGAAATCAGAAAGTATGAAGTCAAATAAGGCGTTCCAACTTCTGATCTGATATCTGAAGCAAAGCAGAGTTTGGGCCTGGTTAGGATTTGGACAGGAGACATTGGGGTGGTGGTGATTTTTGTAGCGCTTGCTGTCATTGTGTCCTTAGGCAAGACACTCCCCATACCCTGCCTATGTATAAATGCAGTGTCTGTCAGTGATCGATAGTGATTAGAGGAGCTGATGGCGCAGATTTTCAGCCGCTTACATTGGTCTGTCCCAGGGCATTTGTGACTATATCATCTTGAAATGTGTTACATAAATCCAGTGCGTTATTATTTCTAAAACTCAAGGTCAAACGTGTCTCACAGTTAAGTATCTTGGTTAGAATTGGCCACTGCACAGTCTGCTCTCATTTACTGTCAGTGGTGGTGGCTAACCTCAGTCTGCGCTGGTCTGGAAGAATGTGGAGATGTTTAAGGTGGTATTATACAGTTATTTGTGTCCTGTGCCCCGCAGAGAGGGAAAGTCCCGCTCACAGTGCTGCGGTTTTTCATTAAAGACAGTGTGATCACAGACCAGCCCACAGTATGTGTCAGGCAGACGCAGACGTAGCCCTGCTGAGTGGACAAAACTTCCACCATACAACAGGAAACTTTTATACTGTTGCCACTGTGAGTAAAAATTTTAATCTATTTGTAATTATATATAAATATAACTATATCCTAAATAAAAACAGTCTTTTTATTATATACAACTCACTGGTAATGCCCTACATAACCAGAGGCGGCTCTACCATTAGGCAACAATAGGGCCCCCAATCTGGAGGGGCCCCCAACCAACTGCCCTCAGTGTCACTAATGACCAAGGCCTCAGAGCAATTTAATTTTCTCTCAATATGACATTGAATGAGAGTAGTTTATTTTTAAAAAGGAAAACTCAAAAAAATAAAATAAAAAATCTAAATCAAAATCTGATCACAATCTGATTGTCAAATCTATTTTAACTGTCAAAGTATTCCCCTCTTGTTTATCTAATAGGCTGCCTAAGTTTTCCAATCTAATTTAATCTAATTCAAATAGAGATGTGCGTGTCTCAAGGACGATGGGGGAAAATAGACAATAAATATCTTAAAAAACAAAAACAAAAAAAACCCCACAGCATTATGATGAGGGCCCCAATTTCAAGTTCACCTAGGGCCCCTAAATTGCTAACTCCGCCTCTGTACATAACCTACTGTATTGAGATTTGGCGCAATACATATAAGACAATACAAATCCAATCTTTACCTCTGCCAAAAAAGGCAATAAGAGCAATCACATTATCAAATTATAATGAACCAAACAGTGCGTTATTTATAAACCTTCAAACTCTGAAATTTTTAGTCGGCCTTTACACTTTGAAAATCATGTTCAAATAAACAACTATCTCTTGACAAAATCATTACAGAATATGTTAAAATTCCGAAATAGCCAATATGAGCTCAGAGGTACGGCCATGTTTATCAAAAAGAAAATCAGAACAAACATGAAACTTTGTAAATCTGTTAAATGGGTGGACCTCTGGGACAATGTACAGAAGACCTAAAACTGTGCACCACTCTGTTATTAGGTTCTTTTTTCAGACCAAGAGTTTGTTTTCATACCTGACGATGTTTCGACTGCTCACTAGTGGTCGCTCTCAGAGTGATCAAGTGATGTTGCTGTGATGTGCCCGTCAGCTGATTTATACAGGTTTTGGCGCTGTCTTCCTACCGGTGGAGGCAGGACGACAGCGCCATCTGCAGTCTGACTTCCTCAGGACAGTATCCCAGGTGTGTGAGAGTAAAAAAGCCCCTTTGTCCCAGTTTATAGTTCGGTGGACATGTTTCTGTATTTCGATTGCCTCTTTAATCCAGCAGTGTTTTTTGTTTTCCTCTGTCCCAATGATGTTTGCTCCGTCCCAGTCGATATAAAAATAAACTATTGGTCCGAAAAAAGAACCTATAACATAAATTATCGGTAGACCAAATCAAATGAACCTCATCAGAATATTGTGCACCACTCTACTCCATTTTATTTAAAAAAAGTAAATGTTTAAATGTTAAAACTCTGGGCAGATACATGAATTATGACGCTTAGTTTGTGCTGTAGTACTTCGCTGTACTGTTACTTATTTGTCTCCTCTTGCTGTATTTATATATTATATATATTATGTATTTATATGAACTGGTGTCAAGATGATTCTATGACAAAAAAAATTTAATGTAGGCATAATAAGCTCAATCTTCAGCCTACACTTTTTCAATCTGTGTATGTTAAATAAGACTGTCTGTGTCAGAATATACCTGTGACCGAAATAATTGTAAATGTTCCTGATTGGTTGATTAATTTATCAGCAAATAGGGCTCAAAGAAAACGTCAATATTTGGATTCTTATTACTCTTTTGTGTGTGGGTGTCATTTATGGTGCATTGTTTTATTGTAAAGTACAAAGTGAATCCCAGACTTGTTAATAAACTTTCCAAACTGTGACAAATTATAAAATCTTTATTGAGGCACAAAGTAAAAGCAGCTTTATAAACTTGTTAATTAATCACAAGGTTATACACAACAATTATCAGAAGCATTTATTTTCTTAAACGTTTCTTAGTATTCAGAGTTGTATATGTATAGTATGTACACTACATTCTTATGTACAGGAATGAATCTATTTTTTCCATTTGTGTTTGATCACGCAGCTTCAAACAATGTGATATATTTAGCTTTAACAAGACTCTGACTTCTATGACTGCAACACCACCGCTGGACTTTTATATTTCAAAAGGATGTTGACCATTTTTCCTCTGGTCATGTCTCTTTAAAGTTTTTGAAGAGAAGGCAGACACATTTAGTTCGACACCGCTGTTTTCTAAATACGCAGACATGTAAATCATCAACATCAATTTGACATAATATAAACTACAATTTACATGATCTACATCGAAAGCTCAAACGGCATTAATCTGTTGTTAGCTGCATAGACACAACTGCAATTTAATTTGATTTAATTTTAATTGAGGTAGGATTGTTATATCTTTATTTCATATGTGTTATTAAAGCTGATCCATGACACAAAGGCAAATCTAAGGCACAATGTTTTCTTTCCGTTATCTTTAAGTGCTTATTCTGAAGACATTTTAGATCAATATTTAAATTTTAAATGTCCAAATTATAACATCCAAGGGTATCAGATTATAACTATGTAGAAGACACAAGCAGAAAACTCAACTAATATTGGCTTCTTTCTAAAGTTATGGTAGTTTAGAGTTGTGCTTTCTGTCTTTTTTTCATTAATGAAGAGGATCTTATAGGCTTATCATGATAACCTTTTCTAGAAAGTAGCAGCATGACTATTAAAATTCAAATCAAGTTAAAAGTTACTATTAGGTTTACCAATATTAGCTGAGCACATTTAATCCTGATGTAGTTCCTTTCTCCCTTGGTGCTGGTTCTAGTCCGTGTACTACAGCTTGGCCTGGAGAGAGCCAACCTCAGGCTTGTTTGAGCAGAACTCCTTCCACCAGGACGGCCTCTGCAGCACCTCGGGGCCCTGCATCATCGTGGACCACAGGTTCTTGTACAGCTGGAGATACAAATGATAACACATGGCTCATTACAGTGTTTTGATTTCATTAAAGACAGTATTATGTCCATGAGAGCCTCTCCCCACAGGCCTAATCTGCCTGAGGGTTTGGAAGTTCAATGTATTAAAAAAATAGGGGGCAGAAGTTCATAGACTTAATTCATTTTAATACTGTCTTCAGCTTACACCATTTGTTGAAGTCTCTCTTGGCTGATTTATATAAAGATGAACAAACTTTAACTAAATAAAATGATGTAAGCGCTCATTGTTCAAACAGAGCTACCAGTTACTAATAAAAGAGCTAGTGCGAGTATCGATTGATTGATTTATTTCAGATTTTTTGGCCTACCATATCTTGAACTAATCAGGACTAGAGGAGCCAGGCTGGTGCCACCTAGTGCCTCCGCTCAATTTCATTTCTCTCCAGCAACTAGGTCAAGAGTCGAAATACACTAGACGGTTTGCAAAAACCCCAGAAGTGCAAGTCCTGGCACCAGCCAGTCAGCGAAGAGTCATACATTCTATGTTGGCAATAATTCCCAAGGTCAAGGATTTAAAGCCGGAACAAAGAGAATGTTTGGTGAATTTTCTCAAGGAGAAAGACGTTATTGCCCTTCTTCCTATGGGATTTGGGAAAAGCTTAATATACCAGTTACCCTCGCTAGCAGCACATTACATATGTCATGACCAAATAGCAGCGATTGATTGAAAAATGAAAAAAAGTACCCGCTTACTCTCGAGAGAACGAATCCTAATGCTGCGAGGTCAGACAGGTTCCACAAAGTGAAACAGACTGATCAATCAGACTAGGACTAGAGCAGGACTGGGAAAGAAAAATTTGAAAATGCCAAAATGTTTTTGTTAGTCAATATTCAGTGGTAATTTAGTGGCTAGGAGTAAATATCTGCAAGAAAAAAAGAGAAGCCAAGGCACTCTTTGTGTATTAAAACTTTTTAAAAGCCTAAACTGGGTTAAGTCATTATTTAAAACATTTTAAAGCATGCAGAGATATTCTCTGAGTGTAGAGGCCCACTGCAGAGACTTTTGTTGATCTTATATCATTCACCGGTCCTCAGCTAATGCAGTACACTCTGAACGGTGGGCAGACTTACCAGTGTGTGACAAATATCTTCACAGTATAAATATTTTGTTGTTTGGTTTATTTATGAATGAGATGTCAGTAGCAAGAAATATCAAACGCACTTCACATTAGTAGGATGAGAGCAGGTTTATACACACTTCATTCTTTCTGACGTCTGTATTGCTCAACAAAAAACACCCAATAAGCCTCGTGACGTAAAAACGCAAGTACTCAGACGCCGTCATCACCAGTCACTGTCAAACAACATTCATTATTTTGCATGTAGACTGCCTGTGTTCCAGGAAAAAGAGATATAGACCTCAGTATTCTTCCAGTAATTAGGCCGAGCCCCACTGAGTCAGATGCTACCTCAAGGGGCCATTTATCACATTTGTGTATGGGTGGGGTCGCAGCAGAAATAGTTGTGAAGTAGTAGTCAATTTTATATTTTTATACGTTTTTTCCTGTGGTAATAAGTAGTATGTCCTCACCTGACCGTCTGCACATCCAATGGGAGAGTTTAGGATGAAATCTGGAGGCGCCAAAACGTCAACCAAGGCCACCGAGTCATCTTTAAGCTATAATTGATGAAAAACAGAACACATTAAACCCTGAGAGTAATATTCTGATGTATGTAGAATTGATCCATCGATAATGGAGGTCAAATGACAAATTGGACACAAGAGCCAGTTCTTCGAGGCTACGTTGCTTGTTTTGGAAGTGGAGAAAATAAAGAATGTTACAAGTGAAGGTTGTGGGAACAAAACTATTTAGATTGGTATGGCTAATATTAAACATCAGACAAGAAGGAATGAGATGCTTGTATAATCATTTATAAAAGAGTAGTGACTGAAGGGCAGTGATTTGAAGCATCTTGGTGATGTATTTCAGTCAAATACCACACGTCCATTTAAAGTAAAGATAGTTTGATATGGGCACACAGAGACAAGGGCAATTCATGAATTATTCGTTCAGTTGTTTTTCAAAATAAAACCAAAAATAAGAAAACGAAAAAAACAACAATTTTCTTCATTATTTGTCTCCAAAACCAAAATAAAAAAAAAAAAAACAGATAAATGAATACTGGAAAAAGCAGATAATGGTTTCCCATTTCCGTGACTTAAACTGTGATGCCGGACTTTTGCACTGCATATGGAATGAACCAGGACTAAACCAGGACTAAATCAGGACTGAACCAGGATTGAGTGTTGGGACGGGCCCGGAGGTGCGCCCGCGTAGACTGTTGGTGATCAGGACTGAGACCAGGACTGGAACCAGACTGGGACGAGACCAGGACTGAGACAGGAGCTGAGACTGGGATCAGGGCCAGGACTGAGACCAGTATCAGACCAGGACCAGGACTGAGACCAGGACTGAGACCAAGACTGAGACCAAGACTGAGACCAAGACTGAGACCGGTTCAGTCCTGGTTTAGTCCTGGTTCAGTCCTGGTTCAGTCCTGGTTCAGTCCTGGTTCAGTCCTGGTTCAGTCCTGGGATCAGTCCTGGGTCAGTCCTGGGTCAGTCCTGGCATCAGTCCTGCATTGTAGTTTAAGTCACGGAAACGTATTCATTTAAACCCAAAATCGAAAACTGAACAAATGAATCATTATCAGTTTTTTCATTTTGGTTTTGGAGACAAATAATGAAGAAAATTGTGGGGGTTTTTTTTGTTTTTGTTTTCTTATTTTTGGTTTTAGTTTGAAAAATGAATGAACGAATGATACACAGATTGAGAGCAGTGCAGAAAAACTGTATTCTTGCATCTTGACATAGGTTCCCTTTACCTGTGCACAAAGAGACAGAATGGCGTTCTGGATCATCTCTGCTGGTTGTCGTCCACTGAAGTAACCCCCTGTAGAAGAATACAAGTGAGTGAACTGAACTGTATCGTAGTATAATATAATACTCGAGTCCTGACCCTGGTGCAGTGAGCATAGTTTTAATCCTGTATTTCATAGGGCGCCATATGGAGTCGTCAGCATTCTTTAGATAATACATTTCCATGGCAATCCAAAAAACTATGTGGCTATCTGTCCTTACGCCTGGAGTCTGTCGCCATAGTGTCTCAAATACAGTACACTATAATGTGAAAGTACTATAATGTGGGGGCAAGCGCCAGTTTTTCCTTTTAATTACATTGTACTTTGCCTTGAAATATCAGAAACGTAAATTCCCAAATACGGAACCTGATCATTTCTATTACTGACTAGACCCAAGACCAGACCTGGGCATTGTATAATTCCTGGGCCACATACAACCCTTTAGTTGACTGTGACCAGCCCATTTACACTTGGAATTACAAAATAAACATACACTACTGGTCAAAAGTTTTAAAACATCACACTTTTTCCAGTTTTTTACTGTTTACTGTTGACCAAAACGTATTCTAAACTTTTGATTCATGAAAGTGTCCACCTTTGGCAGATATAACAGCTGAACACATTCGTGGCTCATTCTTTTTACTACAGAAATCAAATATTCTTCAGAAAATTCTTTCCAAGTGTGTTGCAGAAGTTCCCATAAATGTGTGACACTTGTAGGTTTTTTGGCTTTCACTCTTCTGTCCATTTCATACATTACAAAAAAAACCTGTAGTTGAAACAATATTCACTTTAGTTGCCCCTCCATCTATATGAAACCTAACAACTGTAATGCGTGTGTTGAGTTCTGACCCTGGTACAGCGTGGCCATGTGGTTGCTGACGCTCCAGAGTCCGTAAAGTCCACACAGCTTCTGCAGAACTGCCCTGAGCCCAGCCGGCGTGTCCTCTGCCCTGGTCAGCTCGTCAAACCTCTGCAGACAGGTCAGCTCGATGTAGGCCATGGACAGGGAGCGGCAGTAGTACACCTAATATAAACACAGAGGGACCAGACATTAACAACAGTCACTGGTAGCAGTTACATACAAGCCCAAAATCTGATTATTAACAGACTTCTGGAGCTATTAAAATGTCATAAACAGCAAAATGATCTAATCTCTTTCTGATCACGGTCTCTCCTTATTACTCACATCAGATTTTGCGGTTTGCAGGTCATTTAAATAATCTTAAAATCAGAAATGCATGTAAACATAGCCATTGAGGCATATATGAAAAGGGTAGGAATTCTGTATGGCTTTGTTAGGAAATCCTCTAGTTTCTAAGTGTGCAGTCCAGTTTTCCCAGTTTCCTCTCCTTTTCCCAGGGTTTGGGTAGGGCTTGGGCACACTGAGACCCCTTTTGTCTACTTCACTGGATTACACAACTATTACTTTATACAGAATTATAAAACAATCTAATATTAGAACAGATTTATGTAGTGTTTACATGCACAAAAGAAATCTGACGTTCAAAAACCTCTGATGACAGGTATCAGTTAATCATTCGATCTTTAGAGTAATTACTTGTATTAGGAAGACAAAGTACAATTAATTTGACTATAACTCTTTTGATCCTATCTCTTTCATTTTTGTCTCTGCCTCATGAGTTTACCCATAATTTTCCTTGTCAAAACCTGCACAGGTATGAACCATAAGAAAGAAATCAGATTACTCACTTGGATGTAACTGTTTACATGACATTTCAATCTGATAAATCCAGAAAATCTGATAATGATCATATTTTTGGTGTACATGTAAACATAGCCAGTGTCATACCACAACAATCTGCATGCAACAGACCGTAAACCATGAGAATAAACGTAAGAATCCTGTAATTTGCCAGTCACATTATCTTAGCTATTATCAAAACAGTCATGAAATATGCTTGCTTTGTCTATGGTCAAAACAAAGTTATTGAAACTAATTAAATTTAGTTTGACGCTATTCCCGCAAACACCACAGGCCTCAGCAGTGACTCATTAATTCCAAACAGATGTGGACATTAGACAAGTCTGCGTGAAAGACATACACAACTATTCTACCTCCAGGCTCTGCCCAAATCATTCAGTGTCTTACTTGACTGTTGTTGCGAGCTTCAAACTCGCCCTCCTTGCTCCTTTGCTGCTGTAGCCTCTTGTTGCTCTCGTCCAACAGAAAACATACCAACCATTTGTAGGCTGCCACAGACACTGAAGGGGGAAGATAAACACATTCAGATAATGTAAATGAGTTTCTATACACTTGCAGTAGTAGTAGTGAGATGCAATCCTACCCACAGAATCCATGCACTCTTCTTTTGTTGAGGCAGTGAACCTGGTTTCCAAGATTTGATGGAAATCATTGAGGAAGTCCACAGTGTGAAGAGGAGACTCAATACGACCACTCTCTGTAACATTAAGCACATTTAATCAATTTGTTGAACACATGACAAGTTTTAAAGGCCTAGAATATATATACAGATGTGAATCGCTAAAACTAATCATGGTAAGACGCAAATTTTGGTTGGAATACGACGAGTTTTAAGTTTTGTTGTTAATAAAAATGACCAGGTTCAACATTTGTGAATTAGCCGCTTAGATATTTCTTATGAGACAACGTTGTAACTTGAGTTTGCCATCGGAGTCTAGAATCGGAAAACCACAATGGCATATTGTTGGTCGCAGTAGATTTTTTTGGGGTCACCTTGTCACGATATGAAATGTTAAGGCATGTTTGGTATAATTTCTAATCTTTTTGTAATTATTTTATTGACTGTTTGTTCCAATTTTGCTGATTCAATTGAATGCTGAAAAGAAAAAGAAATGGGCTACATTTAATGTCCAAATAGGCACTTGTGGATTCTTTTATTGCTGTTCAATTACTGTTTTTCATTGTTTAAAACCTGAGTAATACCTATTGTTCAGAGAGACACGATCACTCAGTCAGCAATAAAATATCCTCATTAATGTTCAATAATGGCCAAATCCACCTTTATTTTGTGATTTACGAATAATGTCTATTGACTTGGGTCGCAAAGGTTTGGGACTTTTAAAATATGGGTCCCCAGAAACACTGAAGTATGGACTCACTGTGTTGTTTGTGGTTGAGCCAGCTGAGCAGGTAGGTGCTGGTCTGCTGCAGTAGGACGTTGTTGTCCCCCTCATACGTGCAGTTTGGGTCATTGTCACTCCTCAGGTCTCCCAGGCGGTTCACTGTGGAGCACATGTCCAGGTGATCATGTGAAAAAGTGCACGTGGTAATAATAAAAATACAGTCAGCCATTTGTATACTGTAGCACATCTATAGGTTTGTTCTAAGTTTGTTCAGTTTGAGTGTGTGTGTGTTACTGACTGGCAAGGTAGCCGTGCCCGCCGCAGGCCTCTCGACACTCCTGGATGCCCCTCTGTGCGGTCCATGAGCCCAGAGGTTTACTGGCACAGGACATGGCATGGATCTCCCTGCCCAGCTCCGACTGCAACACACAACAAAAGCCATGTCCACTTGCCCAAACTCTCCATAGAAGAGTGGAGAAGTTGCTGCTACAGTACTGATAGATTCAAATATATATTCAAATAGGATGCACTTTTACTGAACTTAAAAAACATGTGGCCATTTCTTTAAAGTGATTACAATGGAAGGCGTAAATGATAAAGTCGCAATCAATGTTAACGAAGCTACAAACAAGTTCTGACCTGTCTCTCGCTCTTGTCCTTTTGAAGCAGTCCAATCTGGAACTCCACATAGTTCATGTAGAAACTTTTGGTAAAGTTCTCCAGAGCATAAGCCGCTGCCAGGTACGGGATCAGACGCCATTGCTTTAGAAAACAACCACATTATTAAGATAGATTATGGTCGGGTAAACATCTTTTCATTCAAATTTAACTCAAGACTAATAAGAACACCAATTGAGAGTATATGCAAACCTGTAGCTGATATTCGAGAACAGGGATCTCCTCTGTGTCTTTTGGTCCGAACTGCCTCCTTGTGGCGGAGAATCGAATGGCAATGACCAGGGCCAAATTCAGGTTTACAGCAGCCATTCTGGTGATGGACACTCTGCCCCCTGAGAGAGCACCTAAAGATGCTCCGAAGCGCTTGTTAGGGTTCTAAGGGAATTCATATAATTTTATACAACAATCAGTAGGATAATATGCTAGTTAATTGTTTAAGTTACAAAGATATTCATGTGGCCAAAATTCAAACCTTAAATGGCGTCACATAATGGCCTTCAGGAGTCACATCTCCTGTTGAGTTCAGCAGGTTCTCCCGTGGAATCCTCACGTTATGGAACATGGCAAATCTGCAAAAAAATATTATGATATACAAACCAAAGACGATAGGGTTGTTGTGGTTTACATATACATCTATACTAACACATTCATGATATACATTGATATAGACACGCATACAGGCAAAGAGGCTTCTTTATGGTATTGTACTGCCACTTGCTGGTTGCATGGATCTATTACATCTAGAGTTGGAAGCATATTAAATAGGTGTAGTGGGAACATATAAGATGGTCCTGAGATCAATTCACTAGGCCTGCATGCCTGCACGAAGTCAATATTATGCTTATACAACTCGCTATCTTCTAGTGGGGATTGTGCCAAGGACACTGTGTTTACGAAAAACAGGGCACCCTGCCCCATTGCCAGTTTCAAAAGACTGGACATGGGACAGGAATGCGCCTCCATGTATGTGTGCGCGGTGGAGACTGGCCCTCTCTGCACGCACAGGTGCATGAAGAGAATATATAGAGGCGGAGGGAAAGCACCCACTTTAGAGTCTGCTGCGGGTTGCGTACGAACGCCCAGCCGGGTTTAAGCCACTCTGCCGTGGGTTGTTGGCTCTCCAGCCCAGTGTCAACGGTGAGTTTGATTTTCTTATGTGCCAGTTTGTGTGATGATTGATGCTTAAACCCATTGATTGATTGATATGATTGTAACAATGTTGAGCGGGGAATAAACGGACATATTTATTCTAGCCTCATTGTGTGATGATTGCAATGTTGAGCGGGGAATAAACGGACACATTTATTCTAGCCTCATTGTGTGTGTAGCAATGTTAAGCGGGGAGTAAACGGACACATTTGTTCTAGCTTCTTTGTAACAATGTTGAGCGGGGAATAAACAGGCACATTTATTCTAGCTTGTTGTAACAATGTTAAGCGGGGAATAGACAGACACGTTCACTCTAGCTTCATTGTGTGCTGGCATTGATTGATGTGAAATAGTGATTGCCTGGTTGTGACTACTTCCCACGAACCTTTTAAGATATTTCACAAAACATTTTTGGCGTTGTCGGCAGGATCCTAAATTAAAGGGGAAGATTCACTATGTTTTCACGAAACAAGAAAATGCCTGAGGAGACCGCCCCGCAGCTGGGGACGGGTTGGACCGGGCTGTGGCAGCCCGTGTATACATGTTTGTTGGACCAGGGGGGGACCCCTGGTGACTGGGGACCTGGTGTACAGACCGGGGATGTCCAGGCTGTGTTGACTACCTTGCAGGGGGTGATTCCTGACAAAAGGGCTCCACTGGCCGGAGTACGAAGGCGCATGTGGATTTGCGCACATGCATGGAAACAGCAGGCGCAGTACGCGCGGTATTTACAGGAGAGAAATGCGGAGCTAGAGTCACAAGTAGAAAGACTCGCCCGAATGGCAGAGAAAGCTGTAGGAAGAGTTTCTAAACAGAATAGACAGGCCAGGCGTAAGACGCCTCGCGATGTGACACGGCCCCAGGTCCGCGCTTTTATTGCAAAAGTTGAGGCTGAGGACTGGGACCCAGAAACCTGGGATGGTAATATCTGGAGTGATGATGAGCCTGCACCCGGAGGGGCAGTAGCTCGCCCAGTGATCAGGCGCCGTAAGGTGCAGCAAGTGGTGCCTGATCAAATGCGTCCCTTATTGGATAAGCAACGTAGGGAGCAGAGAAAAATCAGAAAACAGTGGAAGCCAGGATTGTATCCTGATCTGGAGGACGTGCGTAGAGGCTATTAAGATTAGGGAGGTGGCCAGGCCCTGGGCATAAGGGGAATGAGATGGTCGTTAGACGACGCCCGCCCTCATGTGCCGGTGGAACTGCACTGGCGAAACTCAATTACCGCTGTAGGCACTTATTCAGGCGTAGTTGTAGTACACCCGTGTAAATTTGCTAACCAAAACTCGACGTTTAAATGTTTGCAATTGATTGAACAGTATATCATGTGCCATATCATCCCCAAGCGGCTGGTTTGATTGAGAGAATGAATGGGTTGTTGAAAGGAACCTTGAAAAAATTGTCAGTTGATAACTCACTGTCCAATTGGAAACAGCACCTGCTTGAAGCGGTGCGAATCTAGATTTGGTATTAATGGACACTGTCTCTCTTCTACAAAACGCTCAAAATATTAAATCTGAACCATTTGTAATTAACAAAGGAGACAAAATTGCTCAGTTGTTAATAAAACCTTGTGACATGTCCACTCCAGTTGAAATCCAACCTCCCACGCACTTGACAGGGCGGGGAGAGGGAGGATTTGGCTCAACTGATAAGACTGGGGCTAAAGTATGGGTAAAACAGCCTCAGGGGCCTCCTAAAGCGGCAGAAATTGACAAAAAAAATGACAAAATAGTTACCGTAATGTACCCAGGATAAGAACACTGGGTAAATGTGCCTGGGGACAAATGCTACCCCAGGCAATAGGTTAACATGTTCTGAAGTGCTTTATGTTAACAGGGATGCCCTGGTGGACCCTGTTGATTGGCAGACGACCAGCACGTGGCTGCCGACCCCGGCGGAGGTATGGCCCTCCTCGGACACTGTGGTGCAGGCTCATGGGCCATGTGCCTGGGTGACATCGCTGCATGGCTGGGATGGCTATGATCCCATACGTTAAAGGAGAAGTAATGGGACATCAATTGCATAAAATTAAAGAATTTCGATTTGGCTGGAAAAATGCCACCCTGATAAGGATACAAGATAACTTCACCTGCGAGGCGAACTGTGCGTGTATCACCACCCGAGTACGGACTAACTGCACGCTATTCAGTTATCGACAAAGAGGTCATGTGATACCAGTCGTAAGCCCGGACTGCATAATACATATCTCCAGCAATGTATCGTTGTGTTTATACAATCTGACTGTAAGACAATGTGTGGAGCGGCATAACGGCACTGAATGGAACATAACCGTATCTGAATCTGACATGGCGGTCTGGTTGGTCAATGCTTCCGCCATTGCGAACAGAACAATATATGGGATGAAAATAGAAGTGGTGCCAGCCACTTCTCGACCGGACCCAGCACAAGTAGTGCCGATTCCCGGCACCTGCCAACCTTTGGCAACTGGATTGACTAAAACTAAAGTACACTGGACGGTTAACTTTCCACCCTTTCCACCATGCCCTCGTCAAAAGCGGGTCTGGTACGATACCATTTATTCTAGCCTCATTGTGTGTGTAGCAATGTTAAGCGGGGAGTAAACGGACACATTTGTTCTAGCTTCTTTGTAACAATGTTGAGCGGGGAATAAACAGGCACATTTATTCTAGCTTGTTGTAACAATGTTAAGCGGGGAATAGACAGACACGTTCACTCTAGCTTCATTGTGTGCTGGCATTGATTGATGTGAAATAGTGATTGCCTGGTTGTGACTACTTCCCACGAACCTTTTAAGATATTTCACAAAACAATAGGTCAAAATAAAGAAAAAAAAGATGTGTTTTTTTTTACATTTGAAGGCACTAATATGATCATTTTCACAATAGTAAAATAGATTGCAGCAAAATGTAAATTACTCCACGCTTGATTGTATTTTAGGTTGTATTGTAGGCTCCACCTACACCTGAATTGACGCACTTATAAAGACTGAACGTAAACACCTCAACGGGCACTTAAAATGTATTACTCTGCAGTGTGTTTCATATAACAAACAAAAAACAAAAGACAAAAATAACAATTACAAAACATGTAAACGACTGTTCTCCACGATGCTGTTACATACCCGTTATCTAACCCATTCTGGCCCAGCTTTTTGCCTATGTCTCCCACCATCACACCTGGAAGGGCCAGCAGCGTCTTGGGATCCCTCACCTGCAAGAACATAATACAGGAGACACTTGAAGTAAGATGTATGATGCATGATTTTTACATTTAATATGCCAAGGAATACATAGTATGTCAATGTCATCATAAAAAAAAAAAATCTTTAAATTGTATAATGACATACCGGGACGATGAAGGAGTGCAGTCCGTGGCACACCTGATCAGGAGTGTAGAGTTGAGCGTACACCACGGCATGGGTCGCTGTCTTTCCAAGGTTCCCTACCCAGAACTTGGCCGCCTCAAAGTCCGGAGAATTGATCACAAACTCCTACAAACACATTCACATCTTCCATGTTATCTAGGGCTGGGTCACGGAGGCAGCAGTCTGAGCAGGGAGGCCCACACTTCCTTTTCTGCACACAGTTTCTCCAGCTGTTTAGGGGGCATCCCAAGGCGTTCCCAGGCCAGCCGAAAGACATACTCTCTCAAGCGTGCCCTGGGTCATCTCCAGACACTGGTGAAGGTAGGAATGTAGATTGACAGGTAAATCGAGAGCTTTGCCTCCTCCTCCTCAGCTCCTTCAGTGACCTACACCGATTCACCAGTCAATCTCATGCTCCATCCTTCCCCCAACAAGACCCAGAGATACTTGAACTCCTCCACTTGAGGCAGGGACTCTCCACCCACCTGCGGAGGGCAAGGCACCTTTTTCTGGTCGAGAACCATGGCCTCAAATTTAGACGCTGATTTTCATCCCAGCCACTTCAGCACAGACCCACATCATCCTTTTGGGCTGAGCCCAACTGGGCTCTGTGGGAAAGGGCCCAACCACCAGGTACTCGCCATTGAGCTCTAATCTAAGGCCTGGCTGGTGGGGCCCACCTGGACATCATGATCCTTGATTTTGATCTATTCATAAGGGTATTGTGAACTGCTCTTAGTCTGCCCCGTGACCTAATACCTGTTTGTTTATTTTGGAAACCAACCATGATTAAGTCATGATAAGATGGCAGTTCAAGAGGGAGGTATAGTAGGATTAATAAATAACCTAGGGCAATCCTTGTACTTACCTGAGTGTTGCGGTCATATGTGGCTGTGGTCCTCATGGCTCTAGTGTTACTGCCATGACTCAGTTCAGTCAGAGCAAAGCACCCAAAGATCTACAACACAGAAAGTCAACTGGTCAAACTGTGAGTTTTATATAGCACTTTTCCACCTTGAAGGCACTCAAAAGCAATTTACTTCAAGGAACCACTCACCCATTCACACACACATTCATACACTGGTGTACGCAGACAATGGAGGGGCGAGGTGGGTGAAGTGTCCTGCCTAAGGACATGACAGTATTCATCTGTGAGAGCTGGAATCACACCGCCAACATACGGGTAACTGGATGACTGCTCTGTCAGTGATGTTTTGTGTCAAGAGTGAGATTCAAATTGCCAATATTTGGATCAGTGGACAAACACTACCAGCTGAGCTATTGTCGCCCAGTAAAAGCATGTGCTGAGTATAAATACACTATAAATATCTGTTAAATCAAGCTAGCTAAAAACACTCAAAAAGGCAACGTGAGTCCTGCTTTAACTTAGAACTCTCAATTGCAGTCTTTAATATCCATTACTCCCTCTTTAACACTACTACAATCCACACTTACCATCATGTTGTTAATAGACTCCAAATAATTGCTGTGTCTTTCAGATCCAGTACTCGCAATGGTGTTATAAAACATCTGTAAAGACACTTCATATTAAAGTCACTTAGACACTTTAGACAACATTATTATGACTTAATTGTCTTGGTACATTTTGCCAGTGAGTGAATTTAAATATGGGAAACGTACCCCTTTGTTGAGGAAGAACTTGGCAGACACACCCCAGTCGTACATGCCAAGGCAGTCATTCAGGATAACATATTTAAATGGGTTGGCATAAAACTCATCCTCAGGCAGTAAGTCATAGCGGAAAAGCTGCTTTACTCTGTAAATGTGAATTTTAGTTGAACTGCCCTTTTATAATTAGCTAAATGTAGTTAGCTGTTTATACCTGAGAAATGCAAGCTCTCTCATCCTCTCCACAGGCAAATCTTCTCCAGGACAACGAGCAAACAAAGGGTCATTTTCTAAAGTTTGAAACACCTTTTGCTGCAAAACAGAACAAAATTCAGGGTAATTCTACAAAAATATGTGCATTATCCAGTTGACATTTGAAAAGTTCTCAAGCTGGGTTTGCCGCAAAAACAGGATGATTCTTTCAAAGAAGCAAGTCAAACCTGTGCAGTCTCTTTTAATATCTCACTGCACAAACACTGAGCCTTCACAGTTTGTGACTGTAGAGTGAACCATTGCAGTTTTATGAGGCATTATCCAAGGCGTTAGCCAGTTGACAAAAAATTTTGGAAGAGCATATATGAAAGTATTCAATATACAAATAATGGGCACAAAAGTTTTAAAGCATTTAAATCAGTCTTTTCTAACATTTAGGATGTTATATAAGACAAAATTTTCTACTCAGATATGGATTTTGGTGCTTATAAATTTAGTGATTAACTTTGAAATTTGAAAAGCAGACAAGCAAAAAATGCTATTTTTACAATATAAATTGACAGATTCTGCAAAAATCAATAATGCTGTCAGGCCCCCTAATTTTGTCCCAAGAGGGGCTGATGGTCCAATGTAAAAATTATCATTGCTTTGAGGAAATAATTGTGCAACTGATAAGTATAGTGAGTAGACATGAAATATACTCCTAATTACAGAATAACCCATAGATGTACCTTTAAAATGATAATGTCGTCTCCTTCTATAAAGTGCACCATGTCCTTCCAGTTGAATGAGGCTTTGCTCCTGTAGATGTCCAGCGGGCCACTGGGGAGGTCCGACACTGCAGCACTCATCTTGGAAGAGGTTAGAAGGGACTAAAAGTATAACAGCAATATTAAACAGAGCCTGAATACATTACTTTAACATAAGTGGCCTATTGTGGATTTTATTATGCCCCATCTGAGTTTAAGCAACAGTACAATCCAATCCGGACACCGGTAATTAATTAAAAGGTGAAATGCTGTTAGGACAAAGTTCACTTCAGTTCATCTGACGGACATTGAACTTTACCCATGGCAGGCAAAAGGGGCCAACAGAAAAAGCAGTGATCGTGACGTGCTAATGTAATTAAATATAATCCATTGTTTATGAACATCGTATTAATTTCTTATTTAATTTTATTAGTTTTGCTGGTGGTGTCAAATTTGTGCAAAGTTCAGTCTAGTTGCGTTAGCAGTTAAGGTGTAAATCTGAACCGATCTGAGCGCACTTTTAATTGTCATCAGAAAAAATACTACTAATAAAGTCGACTATAACAACCCTCAGACATTGCACATTTGTTCACCGTTTTCATAAATCTAAACTGGCTTCCAAAGATTTAGCTAGTCAGTTTTACAAAAATAACTGTCGTTTTTTACTAACCATTTTCCTTTCCAAAACGTTTGTTTATGAATGAAATGACAAAGCGTATGCTCGCATCCTTACCATGGAGCCGCGCCACTTTTAGTTAGTTAATCTTTTTTTTATTGTAGATCCCTGTGATACATGTTTGTCCTTTGGCACCGACGTGATGACGCCACGTTCAGTCCCACGGTGCTACCATGGATCTATTAAAATAACTGGATACAGTATTGCTAGCTTGTAGCTGCCTCCAGTTGACGTAGTGGTCACTCACTGGAACTTCAGCAGAAAAAGTCCCGTGGGCCGAGACAAGATTTTTATCATAGAGCGCAATATAATCACAAACTGCTCGTGTTCGTCTGACAGGTCACCTACAGCTTTCAAAATTATCGGATTTGTTGGCGATTTTTACCTATTTTTAGATCATAAACTTTTTCTCGCTCAAAATCCTTGAGTTGTCTAAAAAAACGCTTTATAATCGTTAGCTTCGGCTACGCACTGCTCCGCTCTTGTTCCTCTCGCTCTGATTGGTCAAAGCGATCACGTGATACACGAGCCCGCGCTCCGTGCGTGTGGTTGCATGCGTTCGCGTGTGCCCGTGGGAGAAAAGAGCACTACTGCGCATGCTCGGTCGGCCCACGGCCACCGGAAGTACCTAGCCATGCTAGGCTAAGCTGGGATCATGCGCCATTGAGCTCAGCCCATTGACTTGAATGGACGGCCATTTTGGAACCTGGGGGCTTGGGTGCTACGTATAGATCCATGTGCTACGTCCGTCTTCTTCTTTATCTTCTTCTTGGCTTTCGGCACACTACATGCCTTGTGGCTTATTGCTGCCCCCTCCGATTATTTTAAGAATTACAACACAACGTAAGGTTAGATTTTTAAAGAACTCAGCAGCAGATTTTCTCCTCAATTTTAGATGTTGTTTTAATGTTTGCTCAGACTTGAATTCAAACTCGTGTGGCAGGAAGTCACCATGGACAGCCTCAAAGATAACTTCTCAGCCATTTAAACAGGTCTCAACACACCATAGAGCAGGGGTGTCCAAACTTTATTCATCAAGGGCCACATATCTAAACACAGATGAAGCAGAGGGCTGATCGAGGGCCGTAGACCGGTGCTCAGTACAGTGAATAATTGAAATATGTGCATGTTTAACACGTTAGAATGAGCTATCAGTCCTTTATTCACGCTAAGATCCTTAAAACCACACACTAAATATTCAATAATGGCTTTATCAAGGTAGATTTTCAAAAAACTTGCAGTAAAAAGTTAATTTTATCATTAATGCAAGGTAATTTGGGGCAATTCTCTTGGAAGCCTGAGGGCCAAGAAAAAATTGTCTGAGGGCCGCATTTGTCCCACGGGCCATAGTTTGGACATGCCTGCCATAGAGAAATGTGCTTGCTGCTTTTTGGTGCAGTTCAGAATAATGGGGTAGAAAGTACAGATACCGTCCTTAAAAGGTATAGTCAAGAAAAAGTAAACACCATTCTCTTTTAAATTAACTTAAGAAAAGTATGGATAACTAAAAATATACTTAAGTACAGTACTTTTACTTTTCTACTGTCGCCCTCCACCACTGCTGTTTTCCGACTGATTACATTTTCTTAAGAAGTGTGAAGAATCCCTCAGTCGTCCAGGTAGAATCCATGGTGAGGAGAAAATTCAGTTTACCGACTGGACAAAAGTTAGTTGGTTTGAAGACGTTTTGCAGCTTATCTGAGCTGCTTCTTCAGTTCTGGTCAGAATGCTGGTGGACACTTCCTTATGTCTGCAGGGAGGAGCTAACTAACTGAAACAAACACACCTACTTGTTTACAGTTTCTGTTCGTTAGTTAGGCCTTTTGACCTGTACAGGGTGTGGGGTCTAATTAGCATAACAATTCATGGTCATAATGGAGCTTCCACACCTCTGGACCTGACCTGGCTACACCTGTTGTTCTCTTGTTTGTTTTGATTTAGGTTTGAGGATGGAGTTGTAAATAGGAGACAGATGGTGTCTGAGGCCTCCATTTCTGTTTAGAGAAGGATTCTCTTTCTTAACAAAAATGGCTTCTTTCACTCCCCTCTCAAACCAATTCTTTTCTCTGGCTAAAATCTGTACCTCGCTTTCCTCAAAGGAGTGGTCCATGGCTTTTAAGTGGAGATGTACAGCAGACTGAGGTCCACTGCTGCTCTCTCGTCTGTGTAGGTACATCCTCTTGTGAAGTAGCTGTTTAGTTTCTCCAATGTAGTGTTCACTGCACTCTTCACTGCACTGAATGGAGTAGACCACATTGCTTTGTTTGTGGCTCGGTGTTTTGTCCTTTGGGTGGACCAGTCTCTTTCTTAGAGTGTTCATAGGTTTGAAATAGACCGAGATCTCATGTTGTCTGAAAATCCTCTATAGTTTTTCAGAAACACCAGCCATGTAAGGAATAGTTACCCCCTAAGATCCCCTCAGATGATAAAACCTGTATTCATTAACATGTCAGACATGACTGACACTGACCCTTGTATAATATCGAAACAAAGTCACAAAGTGGGTTGATCTGGACTAAATGTGGACTAGATTTTAATGTTTAATTTACACAGGTGGCAGTGGGTTTTGGGTGCTTGCATTGCATTTGGTGTGCATAAACTAACTAGTGTGACCAGATTTTCTAATTCAAAAACTGAAATACTCCCAGTTTGGTTGGTAATAATAAAACTGAAACAAGTGCATAATTAAGGAAAATTGTTATGCACTCAGACCACCTTACTAGAAGAGTTTACCTGAACTGTGTGTTTTGGGCTGAACATCCATCAGCTTTCCCTCAAAGACCCAAAGGTGAATATAAAACTGTTCTGCTGAAATACACTTGTAGTTTGTAATTTGTTTTAGCTTTTCCTTTGTGTTTGCAGGTTTGTGTGGTGTCCTTGTGTGGTAACCCTTCTACAGGTCTCAGTTTTATTATTACCATTGTTAATTAGTTCATAGTTAATCTAAGATAAATCTACTTCATTTCTTGCAATTGTGAGACATGAAAATCATCTGTGACAACTGTAGCAGATGTTAGTTTATTTTATTTGAAAACAGCTAAAGCTAAAATGTGATGACTGTCATGTTACTAACTCTTCAGTTTTCAGGTTTAAGGATGATGTCTAACCTAAACATTCTAATCCAAACCGTTTCACAGGTTGTTCCTGTTTAATTTTGTAATGTTTAATATTGCTAAGCTAAACCATGCTACCTTTAGTTGTGTACTGCTAAGATAAACACAATTGTAATATGTAACTGTCTAGCTCTTGAGTTTTCAGGGTTTTGCCCTGGCTCTATCTGAATACAAAGCCACAAATGGACCCAAGAATGTAAAAACCTCAAGAGACAAATTGTTGAATTTATCAAGAAAGAACATTTTCAAAGGCTATAATCAAAAATGTGAAATGAATGAGAATTGTTGTAACATTGGAGGAATTCAGATATGGACCCATTCCAAAGAAAAGATACACACTGAAGTGTAACAATTTCAGAACCAAAGACACTATTAAGTCAAAGCACTAAAATATTAAAACAGGACAGAACAGAAGTGAAGGATCCTGAACACAAACTGCACCAACAGCCCTGGACTGAACACTAAAGGACAGAGAGACATGTGTTGTTAAGAAAAAACAGGAGGAAACAACAAAAAATAGGATTCTAAAGTCATTATTGCAAAGAAACTTTTTTTTAATGGGATTTGTGCACAAAAGTGAAATCTTATTAATAGTTCTGACCCTTTACCGCTGGGTTTGTGACCGACATGATCTTACAGGGATATTTTCCTGCTCCAGGTTTTACAGGTTTTACCGCTAGAATAAAAAGTACATCTGTAAACTATTCTGTAAATTGGTAAATGTTGTAATGTTGAATGTGTAATGTGTGTAGAATTTAGAAAGAAAAAAACATCTTTCTCAAACAAAATTATGAAATGTGGGGAAATCTGGCTGCTTTTGGATTTTTGACTTTTGGCTGAGTTTTACAAAGGAAACCTAAGATCCAAGTACTCCGCGTTGCTCAGAGCAGTGGCGCCATCTGCTGGAGAAGGAATACAAGAACCAGACCTCCGGATTCACGCTATTCAAACACAGAACAAACAGAAATCCCCGGTTACAAAATACATTGCTTTTTTTTTTTTTTTTTTTTTTTACTGTGTGTTCCTTTTTGATGACTGTGACCAGATTTGTGATTTATTGAAATTTCTAATAAATTTAAATTTAATTTGCCTTTGATTTCACTTTTGAGTCTCAGTCCCTTATTTTTAAATAAGTTGATAAGGACAGAATGAAGGTTTTCTTTACTAAGTCCCACTTGATTGTTTTATAGGATAGGCTATTTAATAGTTTTGGGTTTGTTTGTTTTTTGTTTGTTTGTTCGTTTTCTGAAAAGTCATAAACCTGTACTACGTGTCTGTCTGTGTGTGTGTGTGTGTGTGTGTGTGTATGTGTGTGTCTGTGTGTGTGTGTGTACGTGATCATTGTTTTAATGACCTTCAGTTTTAATATAGAGCATTCTAGATCACAATCAGACTTACTAAGCCAATGCTTCAACCAGGATTCAGAGAAAGAACGAAGGGGACAGAAGCTGCTTTATATCTTTACTGAACACTGAAGTAGCAGAGAGGTTTTGTTCACATTGCTCCTGCTGGAGGCTCAGGACATTGACAGTAATGAAGAAGAGGTTACACACAAAAACACTCAATGTATACACAGGTGCATATTAAAATAGGCATGTCTTTTGAGACTATTCCACTAACTCTTATCTATTTTGCATGGTCTTAACTCAGCTGTTTACTGGCTCTGCAGTTCTTTATGGAAAAACGTTGGAAAATGCTTACAACGTCCCACAAAATGCGACAATTACTGCATTAAAAACTACTGTAGCAAACTATCTAGTACTTATGATTGAGATGTTATCTAAAAAACATGGGTTAATAACCAGAAGATGTTAGCTTATACTATTATTGCCAAAGACAACTAAAGTGCATGCTGCATTCCCCACACTCAATCAGTCCTACTTGAGTATATTTTCATACAACTTTTGAGTCACATTAATGGGGATAAAGCAAAGGACACTGTCCCACAGTGTTTGTGATCATTCTTCTTCTTGGGTTGGTAGTTGCTGTTGCTTTTGTGTTACCCTTTTCCCAGTGATTTGCTGGTGCTCTTGTTCAGAAAACATGGTCCACAAAGACCATGATTTAAAGGGACACTTGCTTATTTCATTTTTGTTCAATTACAATTCAGTATTCAGTCAGTGCATGCATTTGGATCATAACATTATAGACTGCCTATATATGGATGTGAAATCAGTTTTTACAAAAAAGCATGCATGCTAATGCCAGGCATGGATTTGAAATAGGCTCGATGTTGTATTTTCAACAATCTTAGAAAACGCGTAATAAAACAAGGATTTTGGAATATTGGCCCCGGAGACTGGGTAGAAAATAACACAAGAGCATTCAGAACATTTGGCACTTTTTTCAAACTGAGGTCCCACAAACCAAATTTGAAAATGTTGTGCACTTTGTTTTGTTTTTTTATATGAGGTTTAAAATGTCCTTTGTAAGAAACATCTGAGAAGATTCACCCTGGGATTTAGAAAGATGTGGAATGTGTGTTTATGACGGCCCAATAATCAAATACGTCCTCTGCACTGGGTCAGTACAAGACCAGCTTACAGTAACATACAGTGAACAGTTATGATTTTAATACAAGTTAAGTGGACAAAGAAGTAGAAACAGTGGTTTATTTAATTTTTTAATTTTTACATTGTACTCTTGGGCTGCAGCAGCATCAATGATTTTAAGTTCGATGAATAAAAACAATACAAGTAAAGCAATAAATATAATAATATTTTGACCAATTACTTGCCAGAGGATGTATTTGAAATCGAGCGCTGTAATCAGTGTGCTGTGTAACTGCATGGGCACTTGACACGGTCATTAATGAAAGGCAATCAAGTTTAAAATCTATATAGTAGCCCTACATGAGCTGTGGCCAATTTCTTTTTTGGACTGATGTTACTCTAATTGTTGGCCAGATGGTATTAAAAATATTTTAAAATCCCTTTTTAATGACTAACTTAGACGCTCTCTTTGGTTAGAAACAAGGTCCTGCTCTTTGTTAGTTTCCCTGCGCCATTATGGGACATTATATCATCGGATTTGCATACGGGTCGTCAAAAGATTAACCAAGGCAAGAGGCCGACTTCTGTTCACAAGCTCATGTCAGGTTACATCTGCTATATGAGCACACTGTCTGTTAAATATTCAGTAAAACTGAGAAGTGTGTTTGAGATACTGTTACAAAAAGCTCCTCTTGTGCTTACTGTATAATTGTCTATCTCTAGCTCTAGGGTTTCAGGTAAGGTAAGAATGCCTCTCCTTTAGAGGAAAGTCATAAGCAGCTATTAATTCAAGTTCTGTTACTTAAAAAAAAAAAAAAAAAAAGAAAAAAAGAAAAAAAAGAGCTGTATACTGTAATCTAATAATGATTGCATTAAATTTTGTTTGTATTTACATTTAGTCAGTAGTCCTAATATTATAAGCATAAGAAGTTTGCTTTTGCAGGTGTCTACAAAAGTTGTGCCTACATCACACTTACATTAGTATAAGTTAAAAGCATAAATGTAAAAATGTTAATTTAAAACACATATTATGTACAAACAAAGAAAAAGACATACAGGTTAGACCAAGGATAGTCAGCCATGGTGTGACGGTGCATGTATCTGCCATATGCTTGAGTGGTGTAGTTGACAGTGTTGCAATGGAATCATCTTGATAATGGAATAATGGAATGTGTGACTGAAGACTATACTGTTGGCTTTCCTTGTTACATGAGGTTTTAATAAAGTGCCTTTACAGTTGTGCAGAATTTAAATCCCAACTCTGCTTGTTTACATATTTCATTTTCATATTTACAAAAATAACACATGCCCAATATAGAATCAAATTCTCCAGGAGTTATGCTTGAACCAAAAATTTGTAACTTTTGGATGGTGGACAGTGCTTCTCTGAAGCCATCACTTAGGTCCATGTCATATAGGACAATCCGAAGACACACATAACCTCATATGTAAATGGTATAACTGACCAGGATCCTGCCTAAATGAGGGTTTATGCTCTGTCAAGTACAAGTTAGACTCAACACTGGAAGCATCAGATATCACCAGTGGCAATGGAAAACTAAGAGAATATGTGTATCTAAATGACCCTTTGTAATGCCCCTCCATGGCCCCTCATTTCACATGCTTGTTTTAATTCTTATCAGACTGACATGAGTCAAGTAGAGTGGTGTGCACAGCAGACTATATCCACTTTCTTTTAAACAGTCTGTTTAAGGTCATCTAAAAATAGCTATGGTGAGTGTTAACAACTACTAACTCAAAAACATGTTCTGGCTAAAGTAATTACTATATCTGTTAGGGTTTTGGAGCTTCCTTTGAATAAACTAAATGACTTTCTAAATGCCAGAACCCTTAACTGTAATGAAGGAGGGAGCTCCCAAAGGGTCACTTAAGTCTGTTGCTCTTAATATACTGAATGTTTCTGGATTCTTCAAGTGTTAGTTTCTAAGACTTGTGTGTATATAGTATGTATGTATGAGGCCTGTGTTTGCTTACTACAACAACTACTATTACTACTAGATTATGTCGGCCTCCACCACACACTGCTCCCTGTACTCCTTGACCAGCTCCACGCCCAGAGTGTGCTGACAGAAGTGGGCCATGCTCTCCCACAGCTGCGGCTCCAGGAACATCTGGCACATCACATGACCCTTCAGAGAAGAGGTGTGCCTCTGGAGGTGACCCAGGAACTGCTGCCGCACCAGGCCCACGTCTTTGCCAAACATGTCGATGTTCAGGTAGTACCTGCACACACACAGTGGTTTTATAGTACGCCTGAGAGTCTGCTTTTCAGTGACAGGTTGGTTTGCTATTGTATTGTTGGGGATTACATATTACATAATATAAATTTATTGTCAAAGCACTGATATTGTCACCTGAAAGCATGCAATTCTTTCATTTACCAGGAGAGCTTTGGTTACTCTTACGTAATCTGACTATGCAGCTGGAAAGGCTGTTATTGGCCCTCCCTATAATTCAATACAAATTCTATTAATTGCACAGCCCAGTTGGTGAGCGATTGGCTTGTCACACATCAATAATGGGCATAGCTGCTTTATGTGAACTGGTATTTAACCTCCTAGGCAATAGTTTTATGGGTGAAACTTCCATAATATAATGTAAACACTGACAGTTAAATATAGTGAAACAGGACATGAGTTACCAGTCGTCTCCTATGGGCACACTGAAGGGGAAGGTGCACAGGCTGGCCACACTGGGGTTGCTCAGGTCGTCCACCATCCAGTCGATGTCTTTCTTGAACAGGATGGCCATGTTGCTGGATAGAAGCTTGAAGGGCTGCCAGTCCTGGATGATGGTGGCATTAGGCAGAATGGGCTGCATCAGGTCTGTACCCAGGAACAGGCGCTGGATGGTGGGGTGGTCCAAGCGCAGAGGGGCTGCGTGCTGAGAGGAGTTGATGACAGGGTAGTGCAGGTCTTCACCAACACCCAACTCTGACAGACGCTGTTTCAGATCCTCAGCCCTGAAGCGCACCAGCAGAATCCCCTGTGCAGATCAAGTAAACACAATGTTAGCAACCATGTTGTCTTCCTATAACTATATTCACCTCAAATGTCTTATCAAATGTCTGTCTTATAATGAGGGATGTACATAAGGTCACACCTTGAAGCCTATAGAGGCCTTGCTCAGAGTCTGTGTTCACTCAGGCCTTGTGTTCTTGTACTATAAGCAACATGTTTTATATCGTCATGTGTGCTGATGTGGTGACTACGATAAAAACCTGTTTGGTGATGATGCGATACTTCTGGTAGTCTTTAGGCCCCAGCTGGTCATCCCGGGTCAGACGGGTTACTTTCACTTCAGGAAACCTGGATTTGACCAGCTCTGAGCAGAAGCGCAGCAGGACTCCTGCCACCCCTTTGCCTCGCTCCTGAGGGGCCACCCGCAGCCCTTCCACCAGCACTGTCTCCCCTCCATCGATCACACATACGGACTCCAGGGCGATCTGCCACAGACCAACACACACATCATTATGTCTCATACTCAGTTCTGACAAATAAAACATTTCTTACTATGCTACAATTAATCCATGTAAACTCCGTCAATCAGTTGTCTGCCAGTTTTATCTCTGCAATTTGTTTTTATTCAACCTGAAGAAAGGCTCATGTTACAAAGGTAAAATATAAATTATATTTCACAGATATAATTTTATGAAAAGTTGTGTTGACCTATACCTCTTTTATGTTAATGTAGCCTATACTTTCATATTGATCCCCATGAGAAAATTTTGTGAACTTATCAACAATTTAATAATTGGATAAAAGAGTCACCATTCCATCTCAAACCCCACTAAAAACTTTAGTTATATCATTCTTGATATGAGTGCGTCACGTGCACATCAGTATCCCGGTTATGATCGGGTTTTTGAACATCCTGGTTTTCATCATGGTGCATGTATACACTGTATCCCAGTTTCAGTATCCCAAATATTATTATAGCTGTGCTTGTTTTTATTGTTGTTGGTTTAGTGATGAGTGAGAAGCAGTTATTACCGTACATAACTGTAAATCTGTCAATTATTTTAACAGTTGTGTCGTGTCAAGACACAATCCAGGTGTTATAAACAAGAAACGATATTTTTATGACATGCTTTACATTTTCATCAGTTTAACATTCCAAGATTCCATTAATGGTAGTTGATGGCAGCATTTCAAATCTGTTTTTTAACTTGTCCTGTTTGTGGTGTTTGTGATTCATATCCTAACAGTTGAATATCTGAGCACTTTTCCATATCTAACCAGGTGCTAAAGGAGCCATGATAGGAAGCATAATGTTTCCTTTCCTTACTCCTTCCTAATCTTACTGATCAGATGGTCCTAGTCATGGTGGCAATTATGCTTCCTTTCATCCATAATTTTTGCTCTTGCGCATTTATAAGATTATGTAAAAAAAAAAACAGGATACTACATTTGATTGTGTATACAGGGATATGAGAATCCCGGTTTCTCAGGGCGCATGTAAACAACATATCCCAAATACTGCCATAACCGGATATGGCTAATAACTGGGATACTGATGTGCATGTACACGTACTCTACGTATGTGTCCTTCTCAGGAAGATTTCAGACAAAGCTGTTCCTGAAGGTCACAGGGATACACCTGTAAGGTTATCTCTCTAATGTGAGTAACTCACCACTTTCCCGTGCTTGCGGGCCAGGATTACGATGCGATTGGTCTCCTGCAGCCAGCTGGTGTATCGTGTGGGCAGGTAATCCAGACCTCCATAGATGTCCTGGCTCATAGCCATGATGTCCTCAAAGTCCTCTTCTGTGGCTACAGTGAACTGCAGCCCAGTGTGAGACAGTGCCTCGGGCAGCTGCGGCATGCTCAGGCTTGTGTCAATCTTCATCTTTATCCAACTGATGGGATATAAAGCACAATCTGATTATTATACAAACTCTACACCACTGGGCAGGCTATATGACCTATTACACCGTTTGCAAAACCTCTGTGTTTGACTCTTTACACATTTGTCAATGGTTTGGCTCATGATTCAGAACACTCTATCCGTATGGAACACATGAATCATTTTCTTACATCAGGTGCACATATTTAATAGTTCATGTCACAAAGAGAGATCAAGAAACAGAAAACCAGTGTCAGCTGTACAGCTGTACGGTCACAATGGTCACAGTCATGATCCCTGTGTGGACACTGTTGTCAATACAAGTCTTTTTAGGGCCTGGACAATCAAATACATTCAACAAAAAGTGGTGATGTAATTATTATTATTATATTGTTATAGATTTTGATAATTAATACAATGTCAAATTGCTCATACAGCATTACTGAGTTGTGTTTGCAGTGGCGGCTGGTGATGTAAACACTGGGGCGATGTCCCAGACCAAAACTTAGTCCACACTGGGGTCGGTCCAGAAAGTGCAACAAATGTAACTTGAGGTGTTGCAATGAATGAGTGGATGTCCCTGTAGAGTCAGCATTATGCTGTTGTGCAACCAGATAGGTGTCTTTTTAGCTGCTTTGTCTTAAGTTTCATTTTCCAATTAATCTTGGCCTGGCGTTTTCAGTAGGTAGGGGGTCAGATAAACTTTTAAGCAATGCTACAACAGCAGTAATGCTAAACTGTGCTTCACAGGGCTGTCGCGGTTCAAGAATTTCTCTTGCGGTAACTTTACGTGTCTCTGCACCACGGTGTGCAGTGTGTGTGCTATAGCACAGAGGTCCATAATGATACATTTACTTTGGGGATGTATTTTAAAAATATCAACATAAAACCACAGCCAAGCCTAAGTGATAGACACGTGTGCAATGTAGTTTTACAGATGAGTTACAAGAATATAGGTATGCTATTATTAGGATCCTCAAGTGAGTAACACATAAAGCCCAAACATCCATGGTAAACCCCCACAGAGGCGCCTGCAGGTGCACGCCTGAGCGCTCTGTGCGCACTGTGAATGTCTCCAGTGAATCTAAATGGATGTCCCAGGTTAGACATGGAGGAGTGACACAGTGATTAACCCGCGGTGTGCAGGGTCGGAGCGGGTCTCAATATTTGAACCCATTTGCTCAGAGTCACGTAAACATTAACTGATTCACAGTAAAATAGTAAAATTGTACATGGAGCCTCATAAAAATGCAAAATGCTGTTACCGCAGTCAGTTGAGCCCTCAGTGATAATATCCCGTAATAATAATATCGTGGTTACCGCGACAGCCCTAAAGCTTCAGTCTCTCAAATCAAACTTTCTTTTACTCAAAGCTCTTCTTGTGCACTTATTCCTTTCACCTGCTGTCAGGTGTAAATGTGGGGCTGTCCCTGTGTCCTGTAGAGTGCGAGCGCAGGGGTTTGGGGGCTCCACAGATGTTTACAGTGGGAGCTGGGAAACAGCTGCTGCTCTACGCTGTAACATGTTCACTGTGGACTGTTCACTTGACCGCCCCAACTCTAAACTGAAATACATTGGATCTGGTGAACCAGCCGCCATTGTATGTGCGTAAATGACAAACAAAAGTAGTGTCACTATGATACAAAATAACATGTTTTAATACAGGCCACAACCACTCGACCATTAGACCCTCTTGAGTTTGGACGAGGCAACTAACTTGGGTAAAATGTAAACAAATATTATTGTTCAGTCATTGGATTTTAGGCATATGCTGCAGACCATTGCAATCAAATGCACAATAATACAAAAAGAAATACATGATTTTGTCCCCATCTAATTAAATAGAAATGACAGCTTTAAGGAGTGTATGTGAGAACAGAAAAGGGAACATAAATGAAACCAAAAAATAGTCCCCTGGCTCATTTCAAACCTCTGATAACCCTCAGTGTGCACATGAGGTCATATACACAGTTTGTATTCTACATGCCACTGGTCAGTGCCAACTGCCCTCTTAACTGCACGTTCTTTCAGTCAGACAAGAGCGTTAAACCTCCTCAATATCAGGTCCTCCAACACCACAAGTCTGACTAGAAGAAACGTAGACACTGGGGCTTTATTGCTGCATTGGATAAGCCTCAACAGACACACAGCAATGTAAGACATCAAAGTAAAACATGCAAGAAAACAAATGAGATGATAAATGTAATTAAACAAATGAATGAATAAATGATCGGGGTGGTACTAGAACATATATGAATATATATAAAACACTAGAACAATATGTAGTTTGGACTAACAGGCAGGAGCCTAATCAATGTTCATGTGATTTACTGTCAATGTGCGGCCACTTTTATTATGAGAGTGGACCCAAGGAAGAGTAGTTTGTGCATTTGCAGAGACTAATTTTGGATCCTTAAATAAACAAATTTGAACAATGTAATGTGCTGTATGATGGCCTTCCTCCACAGGACTTCATAAGAACCAACAAACATCACTAGCCTACAATTTACACTTTTGCACAATTTAAAATATGTTTTTCAACATGAGGTAGTGTGTTTGCTAGTATGTTGCTTTGAAACCATTGTCTGGCTATTTGAAAGTAAATCTAAGACTATAGTGATATGCGCAATTAATGCTCCTGTTGTGAACAAATTTAGAGGACTGAAAACAGATCAGTGTCAACAGATGGCTATGTGACAGTGGACAGTGATGCAAAATGATGTGAGAGAACTAAAGCAACGAGCCCATAATAACATGTGCTACAGAGGAGAACTCCAAACCCTTCATGAAAACAAAAAAGTATACAAAAGACCTTTACGTACAGATTCTCTGTAATACAGATATACACTTCATTGACACTGTCATGGGGACAGTAGCATAGGCTAAGAACATGCTAACATGTGCTTTAAACCCGTTTTTTTAGGAGACATTTGGTGAACTCATGTACCACAGTCAAACCAACGTGGTGTGCCATGCATATTGAGTGTCCTGTGGATTATGGGCGCACATTTAATGGAATTAGCCAGGGGGGCACAGAGAAATGCTCGACATGTCCCAATAATCTATGAGAGAGCCATGTGAGCATGGGGCCTTTGCAGTGAAAACACTGTCTGGTCGGCCAGACCTCACAGGGACACTGGTACTTTTCCATTGGGCTTTGGGGCTGGTGCAGGCCTGCCAGCCCACTCGGCTGCTGCCAATGAAAGCTATGCTATTTTGTTTTCAACTTGTCCTCTCTCACACATCCATCCATTCATTCATTCTTCTTCCTTCCTCTCTTCAGCTGGCAGCGCACTCCAAACACACTGGAATCTGGCACATTTGTAAAGATGGTTCAGATGCATCAGACATGGCAACAGCCAACGGCTTTGGGGATTTCCACAGATCGGTTGTGTTCACAGCACCATGAGACCATGAGGGGTTTGCTCAGGGCACAGTCCTGCTGCAGACTGCTCAGGACTGCATTAAGCACTTTTATTTGCGCTGTGTAAGTCAGTGAATTGGATTGTGAGAGTCTTTTGGTCCCACAGCCTGGCGTCCATGGAACAGGCTGCCCTGCATATCTAAGTGCAGTGAGAAAAGTTTGAGTTTAGTAATAGCCACAAGCTGCATGCACCTGCCGAGCCTGTTGAAGTGTGCTGCCAGCTCTGCCCTGTCTGTCACAGACACCCAGCATAATGTAAAGAAGAGATGTGGAGCAGCAGGTAAAAGGAACACACCATGTCCTCAGCAGCGCCTCCCGCTGGTCATGTGGTGCCGACACCAAATTCATTCATGTCTCTGGGGCGGATGGTCAGGTCCATGGCTTCGTGCCTGTGGGCTCCAGGCTGATGCAAACACATTAGCATTGAACTGGTCCGGCCTATACATGAGACAAACCATTGACACAGAGGCACCAGAAAATGATTAGTTGGTAAATATCCAAAAATCATTCTGTGCTTGTTGTCACATAATGACATCACTCAGTGTGGTTTGGGTTTTCTGCATTTAGGAACATACTCACATGGGCACCGCTGAGACCTTCTAACATGGTTTACATTACACACATCTTAGGCATACATGAAGCTGGTATCCATCACAGTCACTGGAGGAGCACTGATGTCCAAGGCAAGATAGGGAAAAGTCATTTGGATTTTAGCACAACATTTTTTCAGAATAACCCATTTCATACAGTCATTGAGGTCATTGCGTTGTTTACTGAAGAGATATTAATGGATCTAAATGATTTCTTAAACCAACTGGGTTATTATAATAAACATAATCACACAAAATAAAATACATAGACTTTGTCTTGGTTTTAACACAACATTTCGGTAAGTTGTAGAAATATAACCAGTAAATAAATGAGGCAGATTTTAAAAGATGGTGGCCTTGGCCCAGTGAATGTGTAAGGTCATCTGCTGGAGAATTAGTTTTCTCTGTTTTTCCCAATCCACAGTAAAACACATCTATTTCACATCTGCTATTTGCTAAAAAAAAAAAAAAAAAACATTCTATAATTGTTTCAGCTATTTTCTTACCTATGGAAGAAAAAGACAGAAATATTTTTGACACTCAGGTGTTGATCGACTTCATGATAAGTACTGATTTGAAAGGAGAAAAGACTGGAAGACTTGCAGAAAAGAAAACACATTGTATTCTACAACACATCAAATTTTACTGTGGTTAGGATACATTTAGTCGACGGTCATAATAACAATGACGATAATAATTTTACAGTCACTACAAATTACTTTAGACTTTGATGTTACATTTGTGGATGATTTCTTTCAAGACTAATTTTAATTCTGGGCAGTTCAACCTCTTGACCTCTTAACACACAAGCATGTTATGTTTAAGCCGCCTTTGGAAGAAAATAACAAAGAGATGTAACATGATATGATGCCTACAATGAAAAGCTATTCTAATGGTTAGCAGAGCAACCGTAGGTCCTAGCAGCCTGTCTATGGCGGCCTTGTATGTAGTGCTGGTGGTGGGGGTGGGGAGCTTGGAGGAGGGGAGGA